CTTCAGAGCTGGGTAACTAGCTCTCGGTATTGGTTCTGTCAGACGGGGTAAATATCTCTCGATTTTCTTGGTTGTTGGCTGAGTGGAATGATTTGATGAGAGATGTGTTTGTGGATATTATAACCCGCGACCTGTGAGGACCTTCCTTCGAACTCTTGGCGGATAGGAATGTGTTTTTTGACAGGTTAATCCGCCGTCTGTGTCGGAAAAAAGTGTTTGAATATTATAACCCGCGACCTGTAAGGACCTTCATTCGAACTCTTGGCGGATAGGAATGTGTTTTTGACAGGTTAATCCGCCGTCTGTGTCGGAAAAAAGGTATGAAACTGATGAGAATTGAGTTGGTAAAATGAAAAAGTTGAATGCGCTTTTTATTGTCACCGGTCGTTTTACGAGGAAATATCTCTAAATTCTATCGGGAGAATTTTAAAAATGTCACAACTGAAATGGGCAGTTGAAATTAAACATTTTGGTAATAAATGTAAGACTGTGAATTAAAGTTTCGTTTGAACATGATCACAGCACGGTTTTTTTTTTAGTATTATTATAATGTTGTAAGAGAGAAGGTAAAAACCCTGTATTAGTTTGGACCTATTTTTCTTCAAATAAACTGATCCCACCTTTTGGACTGGGATAATTTAAAAGACACCTGTGCCAATCCTCTCCTGCTTCAAAGGTAAGATTGCACCCTGCCACACACACTTAGGTAGGAGCACACTCCATTTACTGATATCAAAATCCTTCGGGATCGCTTAAACAGATTAAAAAAGAGTTGTCTGAATTGAAACAGCAGTTAATTGAACCTTGGTTTTTCGGGGGGTTAGGAAGAGGTGAGACCTTGCTGATGTTGGTGGATCTGAGCCAAGCAGCAACCTTACATAGACTCAATAACTTCGGTCAGGTCAATTAGTAGGTCAGAGTAATTTACCGGAATAAATTATCAGGGCCTCTCCGACTCTAAACAGGTTAGCGTGGGAGGCGGAGCCTCGTTCATTCCTATGAGAGTTGCTCATTGGCGCATGAGGACAAAATGGCCCAACTTTTGACAGTGCGAAACGTCACGAAAGTATTCATATAATTTTATAATCCGTTCTTATTGTGCATCCATGGGTAAAGGTAAAAGTCATGTAGTACTGAACACGTCACATGTACGTGCCGGGCGGTGCGGTCCCGTGGGTTAGATGGGCGTTCATAATGCCGAGGAAAATAACTCTCAGAATAACGTTATTAGCACATTTTACAACTTGAGGACCGAATGTTTTTAATAAGGGCTATACAAACGTTCATACTGGGTAGTTTATTTAGTTTTAAAAACATTATCCAATGATTTACAGACGTCTCTTTCCCAATGTTAGTCAATGGGAAAAAGTATTTCCGGGCCCGGCGACTGATACGGAAGTGTAGTACCGCCGTTTGGCCACAACGAATATTTTCCTCAGAGTCCGGCGCACTTCCTGCGGGCTTGGTTATTTTGCTCTGACAGCCAGGCATGACGGGTAATCTGTGACGTTTCGCTCTCTCAAAGGTTCGGCCATTTTGTCCTAAGGCGCCAATGAGCAGCTCTCATAGGAAAGAACGAGACCCCGCCTCCCACGCTGTATCCAGTTCTTATTATACATCCATGCTCCTTATGCGTACTGCAATTTTTGCGGAACCGCGTTCCGGCACGTTAGGCTCGTGTTGTGTTCAAGGAACCTGTGCTCGGCCAGGAAAGATAGGTACTCGCTTGTTTAATTATTTTGCGGTCTAGATTTCTTACTTTTTTTTTTTGACGTGTGTTTATAACCTTTTACCTCGAGGGCCGTATGAAATGGTCTCGCGGACCGTATACGGCCCGGGGGCCGGAGGTTCCCCACCCCTGCTTTAGACAAACAATTCAGTTAAGTTTATATTTTGTATTGTCTAAAGCATTTATTATTTTCATTTTCCCCCTCTCATATTCAGTGTGGACGGATTGAGACAGCGTGGTGTCCAGAGAGCTGCAGAGACTTCAGGGAGAAACCTCCGTGTGATGGACGTCCTGTCTGTTGGTTTGGAGAGGACTGAGGGTCTTTCCTCTGCGAGGAGGACTGAGGGTCTTTCCTCAGCGAGGAGGACCAGGGCTGATGAAGGAGCCCATGCTGGGCAAAGCTGATACCAACTGCACAGGCCTAGTCTGTCACTTTATTTGACTAAATGTGTTTACTTATACATTTAATAGGTTTACACCTTCTGTCCATATGTGCTTTTTATTTACAACATTTTGATGAAGTTTTGGTTCACATTTCAATAAATTGTATTTGTATTTGCACTCCTTTCGTCCATTATTCTTACTGAAAATGTTAGATTACACATTCACATCTGAGTGAAGATTGGCCCCATTTATTTGTGACGTTGCAAACTATGCGGTACAAGGCACAAGCGATGTGAAGCTCATAAAGTGAGGCAAATAGAAATAATCAGCTGATGGAGTGTAGATGTGGAAATAGGTGCATTTGATCAGCTGACTGTGTTTTTCGCCTATAACCAGACCTTCTCTGAGGTGCAGCGTCACAAACAAATGATGGTCCTGATAGATTACAAAAATATTTTGGTGTGCAGATCTTTGTTTTCACAATAAAAGTGTAGTTTGTCCTGTACTGGTCTTAAAATCTCATAACATCAGCTTTTAATTTTCCCAGTTTTTCAGTTATTCTGTCAAACTCCCCTCCTGAGAACAAATTCAAGCCACTTCTGCTATATTTGATGATGAGGGATAAAATGATTTTTGGCCATAAGTTCTTATTACAATTGGTAATGTTGGACTCAGTACTTGTTAGACTACTACCACAAACACAATGAAATACTTTTACTCCGTACTTTTTGAGTAATACGCAGTGAAACTCCTGTCCTGAGTACAATAATGCAGAGTACATGTTGATTTCTGCAGTAAAGTTGGTCATTTTAACATGAGGGTCTATAGAAATTGCTCCCTTCTGCAGACTGCTCCTACTGGCCACTAGATGAACTGCAGCTTGAGGCACTTCCTTATTGGCCTCCTGGCTCTGCCCCAGAGTTTGCCGCTTGGGTTCTAACATAAGCAATATATGAAATATTATAATGTTGAGTTCAGGGAAGAAATGTATAGGAAGTTTAACAATGTATAAAACAATTTGAAATTAGCTGGGATTCAAAATATATGAAAGCTTATATAGATACATAATGACTGTTGGGGAAATATTTTCCTGGGCCCATAATTGTTTATCAGTTTGAACTGCCCTCAATGAGCACCTGCGACCTTGGGCAGCTGTGCTCTCAGTGTTTTGTCTCCCTATTCCTGCCTGTCGGTTTCAGCTGATAGAGGTTATACTGTAGTGCTTTATCTCGTTATGCACAACGTTGATTATTCTCTCAGAACCAGCTAAATACATGGGTCTGGGGTAGAGATCTTCCGAATTGGTTTGGCAACCGCTGCGTCAACTCGTGGCCCAGCACATGTCTTGTGAATTCTCCGGCCGAAGCTCAAAATAAACCATCAGTGTTTGCCATCAAAGTTCATGCTCTCTCCGTGTCTCTCTGAGTCCTCTCCATTGCTTCAGAAGTTTTGATCACAGTATGGGGCTTATCAAGAATGAATGGAAGCACGAAGACTTAATGTCAAATTGTAGAGAGATAAGCTATAGCAGTTGTAGACAGAGTCATTTACTTTTCTTACTTTGCTGTTAGGTGTAAGCTCATAAGAGATGTGAGACCAAACAATGGTGTCTAACCTTTAAAAGTGCAAAAACAATTTAAACCAACTTTGAACTGTTGATAGGCTGTAAATCTGGCCAACTGATGAATGTCAAATGAAAAAATGTGCCCTTTTAATTGATGTGATTTAAAATGTGTATAAGTCATTTTGGAATGAATCCAATAAGCTAACATCAACATGTGCACAAACCCTGTCCCTCCAACATGATGGACAAGCCCTCTGGCAGCTTTCTTGCTTTTTCATCTAATATTGACTGTTGGCAGACTGAATGCTAGTGACTCGTCTGCCTGTTCTTATTTACCCCTAGATTCTCAGTTCCTTTTGATCAGACTTGCTAATGCCAGTAAACTTTTTATTATGTCAATAAATCCTTGAACTATTCCTGCTTACTCCTCCTCCCACTACTGCCAAAGTTCAGACTGTGACAGTACAATCTGGCCTCAAAATGGACTCACAGACAGTCACCAGCCCTGCCTTGCATTTCCTTACATTAGAGCAGAACTTCCTGGAGTCCTTGCAGTCTGCTAAAAGCATCGTGTATTTGCCTATGAGTTGGCATTCTTAAGATTTTGATGGAAGTAGGCTCCAAATCTTCTGTCTCCTGAGCCTGTCACTCCAGCATCCTCTGCATCAAAATCACATAGCTTGCACACGAGCATGCTCACAGGTCTACTGTATGAAAAGGGGATGGCCCCTTTGCCATCCAAAACACAGTCTTGTTTAATTATCAGTACGTAACCGGACGATTTCTTCTCACTACCAGCTAGAATGTTCCTTATGCCCATACCCTACATCTTAACCTGTATGTGAAAAGTATATTTATCAAACAATGGCATCCTTCTTTTAGGATATAACTCGTTCTTGAATTGTTATTTATTTCAATATAGTCGCAAAATCCATTCAAATCACAAATAAACTGAGCCATAAAATGATTTGAATATCAGAAAAAAATGGTGTTGGAACTCCAAAAATCCCTGCCAAGTATTACTCAACAGTTTTTACCTTAGGACTTAGTGTGCATGTTCAATATGATTGACTATGTGTGCAGATCCAGCAGGTTCAGAATAAGAATTAAACATTAGTAACATTTCCCAAACAAGAAAAGAAGAACAAGTTGTCACATTTAAAAACAACATAAATGCAGAATAGTTATTTGGCAGTCATTTTGAACTGGTCATTCAACTTTATGCTCCAAAGTTAGTCAAACATGTTATCGTTACCCCTTATTGATTTTCTACTGTTTATCTTTTTCCTCAAATTGGACCTTGTGTTTATCAGTTTCTCAACTGCTGCTGGGAAATGGTGTGTATGTGGTTGTGTTCATACAGGTGGACAGAAAGACTAGGTGAGGTGAGGTGGTGGTGGGGCAGTGAGAGGATAAAAGGAGAGTGCTGCATAGCGACACTTCACTGACAGCGGACCAGGATCAGGTAGGAGGATGAGGAAGACTCTGCTGTGGCTGCTGGCCTCTCTGGCCTTCGTCTCCCTGACTTCTCTTGCTGATGGAGCTCCAATGTAAGTAGACATGTCGTACCTTTACCCACTCCAGCTCTGCTTGAATCATTTCTCAGAAAACAAAGATATATCTTTTTTAGTTTTTGGTGATCTTCCTGGTATCAGGGGTGCACATAACTGGTACGCAGGTACGGCACGGCAAACATCTGAAATGCGTATAACGTCACTTGTGTCACTATGCGCCTTTGCGTACCTGATAGGTCATCAAAACAAAACACTTATTTAGTCTACACGTGTTTCTTGTCTACACTCAATGGAGTAAACTATAAGACATCATGTCCAAAAAAACAAAAGACATTAAGCAGCCACTTCGGCTTTTTGCTCCCTGCAAAAAACGCCAGACATTCTTGGACTGATTGAACTGGGTGCCGGCCGAGCCGTGCATCCGCAGGCCATAACCGACGGACCTGTGACGCTTTTACAGGAGGCAGAGGCTTAGAACACTGGACGACTAGGTTGGTTGCCGTGTGCACAGACAGGGTTGTTGTTAACGTCGGTACAGAATTGTACCAAAACTACACCAACTGGCTGCGGAGGGAGACACCCCTGTGCACATTCTGTGCCCCGCACACACTGGAGAACTGCGCAAAATCAGCTGATCACAACGTTCACGTTCTGTGAGACTTCTAATCGTTCTGTGGTCAAGCTGCTGCAATTGTATTTACAACAAGGTGGAGCAAAACACACAGCTGCAAACTTGTGTTAATGGAAGAGTTTGAAATCAGACAGAGGTGGAAGAAGTACTCAAATATCTGTTACAAGTAAAGTCCAGCATTCAAAATGTTACTCAAGTAAAAGTAGAAAAGTATTATCATCACAATATAGTTAAAGCACTGATTTAAGAGTTGATTATATTTCAACTCATTCATCCAAAATCTGGAAAGTAACTAAATGTATTAAATACATGTAGTGGAGTAAAAGTACACCATGTACCTCTGAACTGTTGAGGAGTAGAAGTACACAGTAGCATAACATGGAAATACTCAAGTAAAGAAGTATACATGTACTGTCTTAGTTACTTCCCACCTCTGAAATCAGATATGAGATCAGAATCAGATCAGATACGTCTGCATTCATATATTACCTTAACTCGTGTCTTTCATAATGAGGAGCTACAGTCCACTCTGTGTTACACAATTCAAGGTCATGTGGTGTTTCAAATGATGCCAATAAGTTGGCATAATTTTTTGTTTAGAGTTTGCACAACGACGCAAAATGCCAGACAGAGCAAGGGTCTAGAGATATGATGAAATGTTGTGTTGATCCAGTGCTGGACCTTTGTAATCAATAGATTACTCATTGTGTGTAATCCATGCTGGAGCTCATGATCCTTTGAAAAATAGATTTAGTTTGTTTCTGCAGTTTGGGGGAATTGAAACCTAAAGTTAAATGTTCTGCTCCGCCTCACTGTTCCCTTTAATTATGTTCTTACCAATTGGGTTCGGTTTATTTATTTGACCACTTTAAGCACAACTCATGCAGTATCCCATATATTTATTTGTATGCTCACAATTCCCAAAACACATGAATATTCTTTGAACTTTACTATTTGAAACACTTCAAACTCGTCCTGCGAATGGAAATAAACCATGGAGGCATCATTAATTCAAGATGAGTAGTTAATTTAAAAAAGGTTTTTGTGTGAATTCATATTTTGAACTCTTTTTTTTCAGTACATCCAAAACAGCATGTGGTTCTTTCTGCTCGGTGACATCACATTCACATTAATATACATCTTCTTTTCCGCCCCCGCTTTGCAGCGAGGTGATGTCTGCCCCCAACTTGTTGAGGGTAGGAACAGCAGAAAACGTTTTTGTGGAGTGTCAAGACTGCACAGGTGCAGACAAAAGTGTGATAATCAGTGTGTGGAACCATCCAACCAAAACCAAAAGGCTGGCAACTGCATCTGTGACACTTACCAGTACAGATGACTTCCAGGCGCTGGTACAGATAATGGTAAATGATGCGCTATAACTCGGCTACATTTTCTAAGATGATCTATGAATTAAAAAATGCACATACTATACACACCCTGCTCCTAATGAACTGTTTGTGTCTCTTCATAATGATTTCAGATCCCTGCTGGAGACTTCAGTAAGGATCCCAGCATCAAGCAGTATGTGTATCTGCAAGCTCAGTTCCCTGACCGACTGCTTGAGAAGGTTGTCATGGTCTCCTTTCAGTCTGGGTATATCTTCATCCAAACTGACAAGACCCTCTACACCCCCAACAGCAGAGGTGAATTTATTCAATATCATTAAATCAAGCAATATTTGTTCATAAAGCCCCATATTACAAATGTGAAATGTGCCCAAAGGGGCTGATTAGGAAAATCAGTCCCAATTAATCAGTGAACAAATTACTACTATAAAGATGTGACTTAAAGGTCACCTATAAGGCAACATCCACAATGTCATGTAATATATACATTAATCTGTGTTAAGAGTTTCAGGAAAAAATAATCTCTCTTTTTGTCCTGATCCAAAAACCGGTCTGAAAATGAGCTGATCAGATTTAGGCCACTTTGTGATGTCACAATGTTTGTTTTGGGTTGTGTAACCATTAGCCAATAACCAACCAAGGTGACACCCGCTCACCTGAATCTCATCCTAGAAGGTTTCCCATTCCTCAAATTTCCCTCCTCGACTCCTATCCTCGACTCATATATTTACTTTTAATTCATTGACTGTATTACATTACATTGCATTTAGCTGATGCTTTTATCCAAAGCGACTTACAATAAGTACATTCGACCAGGAAGACACGACCTTGAAGAAAACAGAATCATATAAGTACATCAGGTTTCATAGAGCTAAACATCTCAAGTGCTACTCAACTGGCTTTAGGTAAGCCAGCCCTTTATTAGTATATAAGTGCTTTGTTAGTAATTCTATCGCTCGAAGTGGAGTCGAAAGAGATGAGTTTTCAGTCTGCGCCGGAAGGTGTGTAAGCTTTCTGCTGTCCTGATGTCAATGGGGAGCTCATTCCACCATCTTGGAGCCAGGATAGCAAACCCACGTGTTTCTGCTGATGGGAACTTGGGTCCCCTTTCGCAGCGAGTCGTTTGGCTGATGCAGAGCGTAGTGCACGCGCTGGGGTGTACGGTTTAACCATGTCCTGGATGTAGGAAGGGCCAGATCCATTCTCAGCATGGTAAGCAAGTACCAGTGTCTTGAAGTGGATTCTAGCAGTTACCGGAAGCCAGTGAAGGCAGCGGAGGAGCGGAGTGGTGTGGGAGAATTTAGGAAGGTTGAAGACCAGACGAGCCGTATAGTATAGTATAATGGGGCAAAAGCAGGCTACAGCTGCGGGGGCACACACACACACACACACACACACACACACACACACACACACACACACACACACACACACACACACGTATTTATATATATACAATTTCAGAATCAAACAAGTATGAGAGCACTCTCATAATAACGTAACTCTATCAGAGACTGGATATATCTCTCCCCCCCTCCTCTCTCGCTACAATGAGGAATTTAAATTACGGGCCAAAAGTTTTATTTACAAGTATTAAAATTAAGCAGAGGAAACCAGACCAACTGAGACCTGTTTCTCCGCCGGATCTACGCACACACACACACACACACACACACACACACACACACACACACACACACACACACACACACACACACACACACACACACACACACACACACACACACACACACACACACACACACACACACACACACACACACACACACACACACACACACACACACACACACACACACACACACACACACACACACACACCTACACACACACACACCTACACACACACACCTACACACACACACACACACACACAAACACACACACCTACAGCTGTTCTCACTCTAAACATTGCGCGATGAAAGCAGTTAATAAAATAATATCCAGGGGATGCATGCAGAGCTGTCATTGGCTGAGATAAGTCCGGCCGTGCGTCACGACTCTTTGAAACATCTCTGTTACCGGAAATGCATCCATGGAGCCGTGGAGGACCCATCAGTGTATCCTCGGTTAGAGCTCCTCCAGAGAGCCTCCTCGACGCTCGATCCTTGGTCCTCAATGTGCATTTAGAGAAATTAGATGTCCTTCAACATGACGCGCTGAAATTCATTTCCGGGTCACTACCGGAGGACCGAGTAGTCGAGGAGTGGAGGAGTGGAGGAGGTGGAGGAGTGGAGATGAGAGAAATGGGAAACCTTCCGAGAGCACCATTGTGTTTTTTTGACCAAATATCCTGCAGAGGGGCGTGGCCAGCAGCAGCTCATTAGCATTTAAAGCCACAGTCACAGCATCATCACTTTGGGAACAGGGCTGAAACAGAGGGGTTTAAGGCATGCTACAATGCACGATCTGTTTAGTATTTCGAGCCAAACACTTCAGAGACATGTTTTATATATATCTGAGACCTATGATATATTGTTGAAAAAGAGTATAATAGGGGACCTTTAAAACATAGTAGTGGCAGCGGACCTAAATCAGGAGAACTGCAACAGGTTCATCCACAATCCAAAATGTGCAACGATTGAGTGCTTTCTGCAAGAGGAACTGTTGCCAAGTTGTTACCATGCATTTATCGGACATTAGTGCATAAAGATAGAGGCAGGGGAAAAGAGAGGCAGTCTAAGCCTATAGCAGCATGACATGGGGCTGGTCCAAAGTAAGGCTGAGCAAGCCCCAACTATAAGCTTTATCAAAAAGTAAAGTCTTAAGTCCACTCTTTTTCTGTCAGTTCATTACAGGATGTTTGCTGTGACACCCCGTATGGAGCCTGTGGAGAGGGATGATGCCAACCAAATGGATGTGTCTATTGCCATTGAGTTTGTGGTATTGTTTTCCGATCTTTGATAAGCACATATACCAAGCCTCTTTGCATTACAAATTCTTAACAGCAGATACTTTTCCCGGAATAACCTAAATAAAAGTAAAAACACAGCCAACCTGAGTTGTTGGGTTGTGTTACTTTAGGAACACCTGTCCTGTCACTTGCTACCCTCTAGTGGTTGATTTGCATAAACATAGCCACTTCTTTTAGTGGTAGATAAATACATTTTAGGAGTAGCTGGAAATTAAAAAAGTCTCAATGGAGACAATGACCAAGCTCATGGAGACATGCATAAAATAGTCTATAGCATGGATTTACAACATTAACTTGTTTCTGTTAATGTTTTACTTTTGTATTGTTCTTTTTTAGACCCCTGAAGGCATCATCTTAGCACTTGATCTAGTCTCTTTGAAATCAGGGATCCACTCTGGAAATTACCAACTCGCTGAAATCGTCAGGTTAGTAGTTCATCTTGTTTATGTTGTGTTCTCTACAATGAATTTCCATGTTGCGAATGTAGTGTTTGGAAAAGAGCTAAACAAAAAGTAATATCTTGTATGAAATGTGGAGACACAAAGAATTCTCAGTTCACACATCACCCCATACTTCCAAGATGATGAATGTAAGTGAAAAACACTGGATCAGAACAGGCGGGGGCGCGGGCGTGCGCGGGCTCGTGAACTGGCGCGCACAGCGTAAAGCAAAAACTCACAGACACTTCAATGATTTGTACGGCAGTACGGTTTGGAAACGATATCATTTCCTTTTTGGCGGGCATGAATAACACGGCAAAACACCGGAGCCTCGCTGCGGGGAAGCTTTGGCGCTGTTCTGGTTTGTTCTAATCCGTCAAAATGACAGTAGTTCCTGGGCTCTATAACACCTTACTGCACTTCATCTGGAAATTCATTTGTAAATTCATTCAGCGAATATGCTACTTTATTACATTCAGAGTCACATCTGAATGTAATAAAGTAGCATATTGGCTTTCTGGCCGAAATGATTAAGGATTAAAATAACTGTCTTCTTGTGGTCATTATATTTTCTCACTCTCAAATAAATAGTTTATTTATTAATTTCTTTATCTATAACAATGCAGCATTTTAATTGTAAATGCACAGATTCAATAGAAATAGGCCAACAGTTAATGCCTATGAATTGTACAGTAAACCTCTCTAAATTAGTGTTTAAATGTTGTGTTTTTGTGTGTTTCTATGTTTAGTATCGGACAGTGGAAGATCCGCGCAAAGTTCCACAGCAACCCACAGCAGAGCTTTAGTGCAGAGTTTGAGGTCAAAGAATATGGTGAGTCTCCCATTACCTGCACTTTCATTTAAAACCAATATCAACGTTTTTTAACTGGATTGGTTAAACCATAAATATCTTTTTTCAGTGCTTCCCAGTTTTGAGGTTAAACTGAATCCTACGAGCTCTTTCTTCTACGTGAACGACCAGGAGCTCACAGTCCACATTAAAGCCACGTGAGAGAAAGTTCTTGTTCCGTGGCTTTAGAGGCTGTTTGATTGGTGGATTGATTGTAGCAATGAATACAGGTTGCTGTTTAGAGGTTGGGTTGACGCTCTTGCTCTTTTAATTTCTTAATCATTTATTTTTACTTTGTTTAAAATGAACCTGTTTTGATTCATACATGTCCGTCTCTTCTGGATTTAGGTATTTGTTTGGTCAAGAGGTGAATGGGGTGGCCTACGTTGTGTTTGGGGTCATAAATGATGGTCACAAGAAGAGCTTTCCAAGTTCTCTTCAGAGAGTGCAGGTGAGCACATTCTACACTAACTATATTTTACATGTGTTTTGGAAGAGTCTCATACTCACAACATGCCTAGTATTTCTCCTCTAACTCCAAGATCTGCAGTTATTTCAGTTTCATTTCTATTCACAGATATTATGTATTTAGTGTGTTGAAAATGATGGTGGTGACAAAACACAGTCTTTTCATATTGTTTTAATTGAGAGACCCTTAGCAGCAGGAAATACAATGTTGTATTAGCAACTGTTCACTGTAACACTAAACTACATTTTAAGACACATTTTTGAACTATGTTACATTAGATTGAAGAAGGTGTTGGAGCTGTCACGCTGAAGAGAGAGCACATCACAACGACCTTCCCAAACATTGAAGACCTGGTGACGAAATCCATATATGTAGCTGTCAGTGTGCTAACGGAGAACGGTAAGAAAGAGACTAAGACTTTTCCCAAACGACAGGGGGGAAACATAAATATATTGTATAAAGATAGGATAAGTGTTTTTGTATCAACTACAAAGTGACTGCATTTAAATAATATAATTACATTATAAACAAAAACATCTTTAATCTGTTTTGATTTGATTTGTTTCTGCATCTATTAACAGGTGGTGAAATGGTGGAGTCAGAGTTGAGAAATATTCAGATTGTTAAATCTCCTTACACCATCCACTTCAAGAAAACTCCAAAATATTTCAAACCAGGAATGACCTTCGATGTTGTGGTAAAGTAATTTACATTAACTTTAAAAAAGTACTGTGAAAAAAGCACTTTATAATAACATTAGCAAAAGTATGGCTATATTTTTGATGTTTTAAAGTTCCCATGTCGTGCTTTTCCGGTTAGTACCCGTCCCCTTGTGTGTTATGTAGCTGTTTCTGCATGTAAAGGTCTGCAGAGTCACAAACCCTCAAAGTACACCCTGTAGCGAGTAAAACTCTTACATAGAAAATACCTATCTACGATGTCTCGCAGCAAGCAGGAAATGACACCAGTTACCCAGCTCCCACGCAGCATTCTCATCTGTTTGTCATTACTGGTGTCTTTTTCTGGTTGCAAACGCCATTGTAACACATAATCACTGATGTTCCGCTGCAACGGTGGAGGACTCATCAGAACAGAGTGGGCGAGCTGGCCAATCAGAGCACAGTGGGCTCAGAGGGGAAGGCAGGAGCTCCAACAAGCCGTTTCGGACAGAGAGTAAATACACATAGGTAGGCTACTATACAGCGAACAATATCAATCTAATCTAGTAGACCTCAACAATGGAATTATGATCAGTAGAAATGGCCATGACATGGGACCTTTAAATGATTTGCTGAAAAACAGTTACTCTTTTTTAAATTATGAAACCTACATAGAGTTTACTTCTCTCTTATTATATTATTAACAATAACAGATCACATAATTTTTCTTTGTCGTGGATTTTAATTATGATGTTAAGGCAGATTTTTCCGATTTAGGGAAATATTCCAGAGAAATTAAGAAATGTACCCGTTAAGTTTTGTGTCACCATAAAGTCATAATACTTAGTGAATATATTGGCAATAAATCTACAAGAGATTGTACAGGGCCATCAGAGAGATACAGTACGTCCATGTTTTTGAGCAGGTCCACGAATCCAGTCTTTGTCAAGTCTGTCACCACCTTCGTGCAGCTGCTGGCGCCACTTCGCCTGGTCCTCTGCCAGCCGTCCGTCGCGATGTCCAGGGCCTTCATGTCACGCTTTACGACATCACATCAGGAGGATGAGTCCCCAGCTGACCCAGAAAGCGACGCAGGTTCTGGTCCAGACTCTCGTCATCTCACGCCTAGACTACTGCAACTCCCTCCTGGCTGGTCTACCTGCATGTGCCATCCGACTTCTGCAGCTCATCCAGAATGCAGCGGCTCGTCTGGTCTTCAACCTTCCTAAATTCTCCCACACCACTCCGCTCCTCCGCTCCCTTCACTGGCTTCCGGTAACTGCTAGAATCCACTTCAAGACAATGGTACTTGCTTACCATGCTGCGAATGGATCTGGCCCTTCCTACATCCAGGACATGGTTAAACCGTACACCCCAGCACGTGCACTCCGCTCTGCATCAGCCAAACAGCTCGCTGCACCCGCACTGCAAGGGGGACCCAAGTTCCCATCAGCAAAAACACGTGGGTTTGCTGTCCTGGCTCCAAAATGGTGGAATGAGCTCCCCATTGACATCAGGACAGCAGATAGCTTACACACCTTCCGGCGCAGACTGAAAACTCATCTCTTTCGACTCCACTTCGAGCGATAGAACTATTAACAAAGCACTTATATACTAATAAAGGACTGGCTTATCTAAAGCCAGTTGAGTAGCACTTGAAATGTTTTTGCTCTATGAAACCTGATGTACTTATATGATTCTGTTTTCTTCAAGTTTGTATTTTGTTGGTCGAACGCACTTATTGTAAGTCGCTTTGGATAAAAGCGTCAGCTAAATGCAATGTAATGTAATATTTGAAGCACAGCAGTGGTCGTCCTCTGCCTCTGGAACCAGAGCTCAGCTCGCTGTATTAGATTTCCTTTGGCAGGCGGCCGTCTGGCATTCTGAGAAGGCAGTAAAACAGTAAAACATCTTTCTGATTGTTGAACTGTTTGTGTCGGTGTTGGCAGGTCGAAGTTGTGAATCCTGACAACACTCCGGCACCAGGTGTTGCTGTTGTGGTTAAACCAGGCAGTATGAATGGCATCACCGCAGAAAATGGCATGGCAAGGCTAACCATCAATACAGGAGGGAACCCACAACTACTGACGATCACTGTAAGTCTCTTAAAAATGCATACAGGCACCACAGGCCGCTTTTCAAATGTAAGCTTTGACCTGCAATCAATGAATAATCATTATAAACATTTTTGATATTCATTTTTTAAGGTGAATTCAAGCAGAGCTATCAGCAGATGTTTTTGCTTCTTTATAGCTCATTGCTTTACTTCCGATTGTTTGCACATTTAATTTACAGTATGTGAAAGGTGAAGCTTATCTTAATCGTAGCCAGGATAAAGATGGAATAGGAAAGACTCAATATTTATTCAACCATATGTATGCTTATGTGTTTCTTTCATTTCAGGCAAAGACGAATGATCCTCGTATTTCATCGACAAGACAAGCATCAGCCACCATGACAGCTCTCCCATATATTACCCAAAGCAACAACTATATCCACATAAGTAAGAGACCAGGGGTGGGAATCGTTTTGTATACCACTATTTCATTTTGTATCTTTTGAATAACGGTTTTATTCTAAATTGATCCTCAATTCACTGCATAGAGGTGCTAATTTAGGAATAGACTCCAATCCGCCTTGCGCTTATTATGGCTGTTTGGCAAATTACGGAGTGAACGTAGAGTGAAGCGTGTATGAAATTGTGGATTTTTATATTTGAGGAAGTTATTCAAAGTTAAGATTTGCAAGACTTTGGACGGTATTGAGCCAAATACCTTTACAATAATATGCCTGGAAAACATGCTCCTTTTATTATATTTTTCACTTTATGCAACAAGTTAATCTAGAACTCTCTTGCTCTAGAATTACTGTCCATCAGAAGCAATGTAAAATATCATTGTTGTATGGGGAGAAAATGTGCTACAATGCTCTACTTTAGAAATACTTGAGATACTGCAATCACAACATGTCATGTTTGCAGGTGTGGATTCAGCTGATGTACGATTAGGAAATAACCTGAAAATCAGCCTCAACCTCGAAAGGCAGGAAAGTCATAACACTGACATCACATACCTGGTGAGAGATGTTTTAAATCTGTGCATGTGTGCTTATACTACCCTTTTTGTTGCATCCATCAAGTTGTGTAGTGCAGTATACACGCTCATTAGTGCAATAAGTGCTGATATGTAAGTCTGTGTTCCTATAGATCATGAGCAGAGGTCAGCTGGTGCAAAAAGGCAGATATAACACAAAAGTTGAACGACTGATTTCCCTGATGGTTCTCATTACCAAAGACATGCTGCCATCATTCCGCATCATAGCCTATTACCACACAAATGGGAATGAAGTGGTATCAGACTCTGTTTGGGTGGATGTAAAAGACTCCTGCATGGGCTCGGTGAGACACGCAATACAAAACACACACCAACTGATTTATTTATTACTGTATTCATCTGACATTTTTTAATGTAAGCAACTGGTGCAACAAATCCAAACTGTATGTGTAATTAATTGACCTCACCTTCACATTTAGCTGAAGCTAGAACCATTGAGATCCGCTCCATCCTATGAGCCTGGCAAGATGTTTGGTCTGAAGGTTACAGGAGACCCAGGGGCCATGGTGGGACTGGTGGCAGTGGACAAAGGCGTCTATGTCCTTAACAACAAGCACCGCCTCACACAGAAAAAGGCAATTTATTTATATCATATTTTTCTTGCATTCATTGCATGAATACATTTCTAATGACATATCAGAACTTTAATGTGAGTTTCCAGATCATTCAACCTCTTGCCTTTAAGTGTAAGTCTATTTATTTGTGTGTGAATGACTTTCACTATGCTCAGGTGTGGGACATTGTAGAGAAGTACGACACAGGTTGCACACCAGGTGGAGGGAAGAACGGTATGAGTGTGTTCTTCGACGCTGGGCTGCTGTTTGAGTCCAACACGGCTTCTGGGACTGCCTACAGACAAGGTGACACTACTTTACTCTCACCTTCTGTGACTAAGGTAACTTCGTCACTGTGGACTGACGGCTTTGGGCTTTGTATATTGCACATGTGTTTTATTTTGAAAAGTGTTCCCCCTCCCGTTTTGTCTGTTGCTCCTGATTGTGTTCACCTGGTGCCCTGTGTTGTCTCCTCCCCCCTCACCTGTGTCTTGTTGGGTTAATTAGTGTGGTTATTTAGGCTCTGTGTTTCCTGCTTTGTTGGGTGTGTGAGATCCTTGTGGCTGGTGACTGTGCTCACGTGAACAGCGAGATTGAGGCTATGTCATGTGCCCGTGAGTAATACATGCCCACACCGGCTTGTATTTTGGACGTTCTGCCTCTGCCTCCTTGCTTGGTCGGGCCGCTCAACGGTCAGCTTCACACCTTCCCTGAACATAGTTTTAAAAAGTGAGCACATACACCTTTATTCATCACCATCAGTCAAGTGCTTCTTTAGAAGTGAGCATATTGTGTTCAGTAGAAGAACTGCATCCTAAAGGGTATTTTTATGGCTTTTTATGGCTCCCATATCTGGGTATTTGTTTGTAGGAAATGTGTCTTTGGTTGAATTTGCCCTTTGAGGTATTTCCAAGTTTGCATGGACCATGGTGACTGGCCAATGAGCTGAATTGTCCTTATTATGAGGTGGTTTTAAAAACCACCTTTAGCACGTATTCTAAAAAAGTTGATAATTTACATAAATCAGACGTTCAATATCAAAGATTCTCACCCCCACACCCTGTTCACGTGTCCTACCAGAGAAATCACCTCACTCTGATTTTAAAAGTTCCACATCAATTATACAATGCTAAAGGTAAGTTGAATATTGTTGAGTTCTGTAAAAGATTTTGTCTCTGTTGCTTTTTTTCCAGAATTGAAATGTCCGGCACCGAGCAGGAGGAAACGAGCCACCACATTCATGGATGTCAGAACCAGCTTACGTAAGAATCATAACTCTATACAAAGCAATAACCTAATTTCCTGTTATGTTAACCATTTACCCTTCCTGCACAAATCTTTATCTCTCTGTCTCTTCTTCAAAACCCTTTTCTTTATAGTGAGTAACTATAAAGAAAAACTGCAACGGGACTGTTGTTTGGATGGCATGAGGGACACCCTCCTCTCTTACACCTGTGAAAGGCGTGTAGAGTACATTGTTGATGGTGAAGCCTGTGCAGCAGCCTTCCTGCACTGCTGCAAGGACATGGAAAACCAGCGAGCTGACAGCAAGGTGGAGAGCCTTCAACTGGCTCGCAGTAAGAGACCGGGATAAGGGATGGGCTGAAGCCCTGGGTGATCATTTGTTGCCATAGTAGTAGTAACAAACCATTCTGAATGAAAATATGTTTGACACTCTAGGTGAGGAGGATGACAGTTACATTGACAGCAATGAAATTACTTCTCGCACCAAGTTCCCTGAAAGTTGGCTGTGGTCAGATATCACACTTCCTAATTGCACTGGACGAGACGAATGGTAAGTCAACCGACATACACACATAAAAAACACTAACTTCAATAGTGACGCCTACATTTACCTCCCAAAGATGTAACACTGTTCTTTGTTTTCAGTGAAACCACATCAATGACTAAAAATGTTCCACTGCAAGACTCAATCACCACCTGGCAGTTCACTGGCATTAGTCTGTCAACTACTCACGGTGAGGATTCAGTGACTGAAAGCTGTTTCGTTTAGGAATCTAAACTTGAACTTTTGTTATCCCTTAAATCTTCTCTCTCTCTTTCTCTTTGTAATCCCTTTGTATTGTCCCTCTCATCTTAAAGGAATCTGTGTTGGTGATTCGTTAGAGGTGATTGTCCAGAAGAAATTCTTCATTGATCTCAGGCTGCCATACTCTGCTGTCCGGGGAGAGCAGCTGGAAGTTAAGGCAATCCTGCACAACTACAGCGACGATCCTGCAACTGTAAGTCTGTGTTAAATACAGTATAAGAGGCAAGAGAACATTTTAGACTAAAGGGCAAAATCAACAGCAAATATTCAACTGACATACTGTATCAAAAAAGAGAGTGAATAACCTTCCTACTCTAGACTTTTCATTCCTGCTCACATAGTGGTTGGCCTGCGACTATCGTTTTTCCATCCCAGTTTAGATTTAATTTATAGGCCTACCTGCGTGATAAAAAGCATGACGTAGCTCTGAACAAATGCGTGAATGTAAAAATAGAATGTCGCGGCCAAACAACGCTCTAGTAATACAATGTCTACTCTGGCTTGGGGAAAAAACTATAGGGCTGCTTAATCTGATCAATTCAGTGTTAATTAGAACACCAAGAAGTATTCAAAAATAACTATTTTCATCAATCTACTTTGAAAAGGACGCTCTATGTAGCGACTGTAGCTATCAATTCCATATTTTGTGGGATGAAAATGCCACAGGTGACGCTCTGATGCTACATTAATGCTAGTGGGCACCATGTCTGAACTGGGATGGAAAAACGATAGATGCCTCAGCAGCGGGAAACCTTACTGCATTATTAACAGTGTGCCTTTTATTATTAAGATCAGATTGATCCTGTAAAAAACACTGGATATCATCAAATGTGAATTAAAATCAGGAAAGCATTATCGATGGATGAGCTAAAATAAAACTGATGTAATCCTATTGTGTCCTCAATAATAGTCTTTATCTTTGAGCAACTTCACGATCTCCAGTCCATCTTTGTCCTGTTCTCAAGGTGCGGGTTGATCTGATTGAGGAGGATAATGTGTGCAGTTCGGCTTCAAAGCGTGGAAAGTATCGCCAGGAGGTCCGAATTGGGGCTCAAACTACCCGATCTGTGCCCTTCATCATCATTCCCATGAAAGAAGGAGAATTCCGCATTGAGGTCAAAGCTGCTGTTAAAGATTCATGGCTTAATGATGGAATTATGAAGATGCTGCGGGTGGTGGTAAGAAAAAGACTCCATGTCGTGTTTTTTCTTACACCATGTGGAATTGTTCTCTTATTGCAGTAAAATGTTCAAGCTGCCATAAAAAAGTACTCATCCGAGGTCTGTAGCATTATGGATGTAATATTCTTGTTACTACTTTTAGTTTCAAGCAACAAGCCGTCTAGAAATCCTTTGAAAACCTCAGTTTGAATAAAATCGATTTAATAATGTGACAAAGCTTGGAGTGACCTTCAATAGCGCCTTGACATGTGATAAGCAGGTCAGCACCATAGCCAAACCTGCTTTTTTAAAATACGACTATTGGCTAAGACCAAGTCGTTTTTATCTTTTAAAGACCTAGAAAGGGTTATTAACGCCTTTGTTACCTCGAGACTGGATCACTGCAATGCTCTGTATGTGGGTATGGACCAGGCGTCAATCAGACGCCTGCAGCTAGTTCAGAACGCAGCTGCACGTCTTCTCACTGGCCAAAAAAGCGTGGCCACATCACCCCAATTCTGGCCTCACTGCACTGGCTTCGAGTTCGGTTCAGAATTGATTTTAAACGTATTTTATTTGTTTTCAAAGCCCTAAATGGGCTGGCTCCGGCCTATATAGCCGAACTCCTCCATCGCCACACCCCAGGCAGAGCCTTAAGGTCGGCTGACCAGCTGCTGCTGATAGTGCCCAAGACCAGGCTCAAAACCCGAGGGCACCGAGCCTTCGCAGCAGCTGGCACCAGGCTCTGGAACACTCTGCCCCTCCATGTGAGGTCGGCCCAGACCCTGGGGGTTTTTAAATCCACACTTAAAACACACTTCTTCTCCCTGGCCTTCTAGTCAGAGCGGAGCACGACTCCTGACTTTTCCCTGTGTGTCATTTTTTATTTTTGCTGTTGTATTTATTGCAAAGTGTTTTTATTGTAAAGTGTATTTATTGTATGTACAGCACTTTGGCTCGACCACATTTAAAAAAAAAAATGTGTTATATAAATAAAACTTGATTTGATTTGAAAGCTACAGTTACAGGTATGAGAGATATAGTCTGGTAAAGTCAGTTTCGTAAACTGTCATGTTTATGAAATGCATCTTATTGATATATAAAAAGCTTATTTAAATTTGGACCATACTTCACTTTGATAAACAACAGCAAACAAAGATTACTCAAAAAGTTATGCCAATAATTGTAATTTCTAATGTTTGTCCTAACTGTTGTTTTTCCAGCCTCAAGGTGTACTAGTAAAAGATCCTAAGATTGTAATTCTAGACCCCTCTAATAAAGGTGTAGGTGAGTTGCCTTGATGAATGACATAGCTGCATTTTACAGTATAGTGGTTTATCAACGTTATGTTTGTATCTGTTGCTAATTGATGCTGCAACTTGCTGCTGTTTCTCCCTTTAGATGGTGAACAAGTAGTAATTATCAACAGTGGAATTGCCAAAAAAGATTTGGTTCCAAACGCACCAACAAGCACACAGATCTCTGTGACAGGTGGGACATGATGCCATGTCAGTGCATGTACAATGGAAACTATTCATACAATTGGTATAAATTGTTATTGTTCTTATTGGAAATATCTACCTCACTGGTCGTTGGGGAACTTTGTTGTTTGCTTAGAGGTTTCTTCTTGTTGATTCATAACGTGTTGTGTTTATTTTCTGTCTGTCTGTGTTCATTCAGGGAGAGAACAAGTGTCTGCCCTCGTGGAGAACGCTGTTAGCGGGAACTCTATGGGTACTCTAATCAAACAGCCCGGTGGCTGTGGAGAGCAGAACATGATCAGCATGACCCTACCTCTCATTGCAGCCACATATTTGGACAAAACCAACCAGTGGGAAGCTGTGGGCTTTCATAAACGTAATGAAGCCCTCCAACACATCAAGACTGGTAGGCTCACTGAGGTTTGAAAAAGAACATCAATCCACACCACCCCTGTCCAGCCCTCATTTGGGTTTCCCTTTTAAAACAAAAGCCTATGCCAGCAGAATCATTTGAAAGAAGCTCTAAGGACTGAAAAATATTCAGGACTCCTTAAACTGGCTTCTAATCAATAAGATTAAGTAGAGCAATGATATTCACTTTTTAAAACGGTTGTATGTATATGTTTGTGTACAGGCTACAACACAGAGCTTACCTACCGGAAAACAGATGGGTCTTTTGCTGTGTTTCCATATCACCCAAGTAGCTCCTGGTGAGGCATTCAAACATCCTTGAACTCACACAATGATGTATGTCACGTATGAAACTATTACACCTTCTTCTCTCCTCTAAGGTTGACAGCCTATGTTGCCAAGGTGTTTGCCATGGCACACAATCTGGTGGCAGTGCAAAGACCACACATCTGTGAGGCCATCAAGTTTCTGATTCTCAACGCACAGCAACCTGATGGCTTATTTAGAGAAGTTGGAAAGGTGATCCATGGAGAGATGATGGTGCGTTCACTGGTTTCATAGAAATCTGTTTTTCATCTATGTGCTACAAAAATAGCTAATCTGTTTGAAAACAATAACATGTGTGTGTGTGTGTGTGTGTGTGTGTGTGTGTGTGTGTGTGTGTGTGTGTGTGTGTGTGTGTGTGTGTGTGTGTGTGTGTGTGTGTGTGTGTGTGTGTGTGTGTGTGTGTGTGTGTGTGTGTGTGTGTGTGTGTGTGTGTGTGTGTGTGTGTGTGTGTGTGTGTGTGTGTGTGTGTGTGTGTGTGTGTGTGTGTGTGTGTGTGTGTGTGTGTGTGTGTGTGTGTGTGTGTGTGTGTGTGTGTGTGTGTGTGTGTGTGTGTGTGTGTGTGTGTGTGTGTGTGTGTGTGTGTGTGTGTGTGTGTGTGTGTGTGTGTGTGTGTGTGTGTGTGTGTGTGTGTGTGTGTGTGTGTGTGTGTGTGTGTGTGTGTGTGTGTGTGTGTGTGTGTGTGTGTGTGTGTGTGTGTGTGTGTGTGTGTGTGTGTGTGTGTGTGTGTGTGTGTGTAGGGTGATGTGCGTGGCTCAGATTCAGAGGCCTCCATGACGGCCTTCTGCCTCATTGCTATGCAGGAGTCACGAACGCTATGTGCTGCCAGTATTAGTGTGAGTACTTTACCTCCATACAATGTTTTCTATTTTTCTCTCATCTGTTTCATTTATTTATTTACCGTCTATCCAACATGCTCCGGGTCTAAAAAGTGAAGCCAATCCGGATGTGCCTTTAAGCTGCATCTAACATCCAGCAGGGGGCGACTCCACTGGTGGCAGAATCAAGTCAGATTGTATAGAAGTCTAAGAGAAAATAAACCAACTAATTTTCAAAATTAGTTTATGGTCACAATCGCTAGATTTGAGTCTTCTTTATTGAAGCATGATGTTCATTTGATAAATGATGGTCCTATTTAGAGTAAATAGACTATTAATCAGCGTATATGCTTTATGGCGTGGCCACCATGAGATTGAATAGTAGCTAAAATAGTTTTATCCGGTTGGGATGTTGTCCATGTTTTAGTTTTAGACTCTCTAATAGTCTGTTTTTAGTTCAAGAAAGACATTTTTTCTTTACGTTGCCTAAACATGTCTATCTGACTGTTCTCGACTTATTCTCTTTCCTCCCTTACTTTTTGTACAGAGTCTACCCCGCAGTATAGTCAAAGCGGTGGCCTATCTGGAAAGGCGTCTGCCCAGACTCACCAACCCATATGCTGTTGCCATGACATCATATGCCATGGCCAATGAAAACAAAATGAACCGCGAGATCCTCTACAAGTTTGCTTCCCCAGGTGCTGTTACTATTCTTAAACTATTATTTGGAAACATAGTCTATGTTTTGGTGATTAGATTCAAAACGATTTCTCATCCACAACTACTAAGAGCCGGACCAACACATTGGTATTATGGGATGATGTTTGCTCAGTACAGAAATGTCAAATGTTTAACTAATTTAGAAACAGTCTCTAATGGACATTATTACATGTTACTTGTTAGACGCTTTTATCCAAAGCGACTTACATACCCACATGAGCAATTTGGGGTGAAGTGTCTTGCCCAGGGACACAACGACATGCTGACTGCAGTGGGATTTGAACCTGTGACCCCCTGATCCGAAAATCAAAGCACTATCTACTGTGCCACAGCCGCCCTTGGACATAAATAGTCTTCCAGCCATACGATGTCCTGTAACAAATACTGTTAACACTTTTTGAATAACAGATATATGGGGATTTGTTAAAATTCTTAAGAGCGAGCACATTTTAATATTTCCTAATGTATATTATTCATACATTATTTTCTCAGATGAAATATCCTGGATTTATAAGTAAATAGATTGATGTATAGAAAAGTAATGGGAAGATATTTATTTGTCGTCATTAGAGTTGAACCACTGGCCGACTCAGGGAGGTATCTACACACTGGAGGCTACGGCGTACGCTCTTCTCGCTCTGGTCAAGGCCGAGGTGAGCATGTCGCATGTATGTGTGTTGCTTTCATGCTACAGACAACATACAATTTAGTCCTTATCCATGCCACCTTAATATAAAGGTTTGTATTCAATTGTCAATGAAATGTGTCAGTCAGTAATGTCACAGCCTTAAAATATAAGTGAAATGTTACCCTTTTAAGTATCCAATATTTTAAGTATTACAATTATTAAGTAACCAATTTGATTGTCTTTTTTTATATTTGTATGTTTTTTTTATAATTCTAATGTGCAGTGAATGACAGAAAAGTTCAACCATGTACCTTCCTTCTGTGAATAAAGGCTTTTGAAGATGCCAGACCTGTTGTGAGATGGTTCAACGAACAGCAGAAAGTTGGCGGAGGCTATGGATCGACTCAGGTAAGAAGAGACTCCTCTCTCCATCTTGATCCCTCCATCCTGTTTTAGATTATCATTTATTTTGTTCTGATTCATTTCCCCCCACCTCCCTCTCTTAAGGCCACCATTATGGTGTACCAGGCTATATCAGAGTACTGGTCCAGTGCTAAAGAACCAGAGTACGATCTGAACGTGGATATTTTGTTGCCGGGCAGGGCAAAGCCTGATAAGTACAACTTCAACAGGGATAACCACTATGCCACAAGGACATCTAAAGTAAGCACAGACACACACTCACAAACAGTGGCTCATTAAGGTGGCATATGTTTGTCTCAACACAGTTTGTGTGAACAGATTGAAATCATGCATGTGTATAGTGTGGGTAGTCTCCTGGACTACAAACACATCTGTAAACTCTCAAAAAATAAATTGAACTATAGAAGTGATTTGAAAATAGAGAAAACAACAATTTCAGTTTTACTAAAAATACTAAAGAAGCACATTTGAAAACCTATATTCTTAACATATTTAAAGTTCACCTATGATGCTATCTGTAGGCAATAGCATAGGTCTCAGATATATACAAATAAATGAAAAACATGTCTATGAAGTGTTTTACTCAGAATACCAAACAGATCATTCTAGCCACGCCTCATATCCCTCTATTTCACTTCCTGTCTCTAAAGTGCTGATTCGGGTATAAAGCTTTAAAGAGGAGGGGTCTGAGCTCATGCGGGACCCGGCAGCTACTGTCTAAACTAAATGCTGCCGTGATGAAACGCCATATCATGGATTATCAAGGATTATTTCTGAAACAGTATGGAGCTCAAAGGCTTTCTCTCTTGCTGGTTATACCACAAGGGGAGTTCCTTTTTACTTCCTGCTTATTCACACACATGCTCTCCAGTACAGGTTAGCTCTGAGTGTTAGCGATGCTAATGTAAACATGCACCGACCATAGGGCTGGTTGATTATGGCAAAAATCATAATCTTGATTACTTGGGTCAATAATTGATATCACGATTATTAAAAACGATTATTAAAAACTTTGAAAACATTTATTTGAGAATTTTTCGGGCATTGTTTCTGATAGCAACGTCTACGCCTACATTTCCGATATTACGTCATATCGGACGCAAATCTGGATCAGCTCCGTTGTTCCCCCGTTTTTAGAGATTTGGGTACGGAGGAAAAGAGAGAGGGTTTTATTTTCTGACGCTGCGTGAGTTCCCTGACACACCGGGGACACATGTTGATGTATCAAATACATCAAAAAGCGCATTTTGCGTAATAGGTCCCCTTTAACTTTTGAACTGAATTTAGTTTTATTTATGAATTCTAGAGTCCCTTGAGGATCTCAATTATTCCATGGAGATTTGCCAGATTAATCAGATTATTTTGAAAAAGTTTTAAATGTACAGCTTGCATATTTACACACTGGTTGTTGATTTCGTCACACAAATAATAAATACTTTAATATCTAATAGCTTATCCCTGACTGCTTGTGTTTGTGTTCATATTTAAACTCTGACAGATCAAAGCTATAAACCAGAATGTGACAGTGACTACCAGGGGTTCAGGAGAAGCAACAGTGACAGTGAGTACAATATATTTGTATATGTTATACTCTGAGTTTAAATAACAGTTAATAACTGATCCGTCCTTTTTTTATTAAAATTTTACCTAATACCCTTTTAACCTTGTGAGGACTCATATCAAATATTACACCTTCTCTGTGACAGATGGTGTCGCTGTACTACGCTCTGCCTAAACAAAAGGAAAGTGATTGTCAGAAGTTTAACCTGTCAGTGCAGCTCATCCCAGGTGATTTAGTGCCTTCTGTCTCTTCTTCGGTTGTTGTACCTTACTCTTGAGAAACAAATTAACTAAATATGAATATAATATTTCACTCCTGCAGAAAAAATTGATGAGGACGAGAAGATCTACAAGCTGAGGATAGAAGTGTTGTAAGTACAACCAAGGCAACACACTGCCACATGGCTTTATTCATAACATTTTCTAACCAGCTATTTACAATATTATTATATTTCACAATCTGTATTAAATATTCTGCTTCTGTTCATTACCCTTTTCACTATGTTCTTAACACTTTCATTTCCTTCAATCTATTCTGTGTACAGGTATAAGGACAAGGAAAGAGATGCAGCAATGTCAATTTTGGATATTGGCTTGCTAACCGGCTTCACCGCTAACACAAAGGACTTGGACTCAGTAAGAACTCATACACAGTAACCCACAACAAATGCACTGTCACGGTTCCTGTTAAGAGAGAAAAATGTGTGTGTGTGTGTGTGTGTGTGTGTGTGTGTGTGTGTGTGTGTGTGTGTGTGTGTGTGTGTGTGTGTGTGTGTGTGTGTGTGTGTGTGTGTGTGTGTGTGTGTGTGTGTGTGTGTGTGTGTGTGTGTGTGTGTGTGTGTGTGTGTGTGTGTGTGTGTGTGTGTGTGTGTGTGTGTGTGTGTGTGTGTGTGTGTGTGTGTGTGTGTGTGTGTGTGTGTGTGTGTGTGTGTGTGTGTGTGTGTGTGTGTGTGTGTGTGTGTGTGTGTGTGTGTGTGTGTGTGTGTGTGTGTGTGTGTGTGTGTGTGTGTGTGTGTGTGTGTGTGTGTGTGTGTGTGTGTGTGTGTGTGTGTGTGTGTGTGTGTGTGTGTGTGTGTGTGTGTGTGTGTGTGTGTAGTTGTCCACAGGACATGGGCGCACCATTGCAAAATATGAGATGAACAAAGTCCTGTCAGAAAGAGGCTCACTCATCCTCTACCTGGAAAAGGTAAGATGTCGCTGTTTCCTTCCTCCATACTTTTCCTCTCTGCCTTGCTCTTTGTGTTTGTATCTCTATCTCACCTTTATCTACAGGTTTCTCACACACGACCAGAAGAAATCATTTTTAGGGTTCATCAGACAATGAAAGTGGGCGTCTTACAACCAGCGGCTGTATCTGTCTATGAATACTATGAGCGTGAGTCTTAGAGAAACCTCCATGTGTTTAGTTCCCAATAGATGTCAGAGAATATAACACTGTCTATAAGCAGGCATTATTATTTGTTCAAGTATTTAATATATCTTTTATAAAGTACTGTAAGAACCTGTTTCAATATCTTTCTCTTCTATTGCAGAAACACATTGTGTGCAGTTCTACCATCCAGAGAGGAAAGGTGGACAGCTACTGCGGCTCTGCAGAGGTGATGAGTGCACATGTGCTGAAGGTAAACGGGTCAAAGCAACCTTATCCATCAACTGTAAACTTTTATTTGTTCCATTTTAAATTCTAAATATCACAACACTTAAATTGTGCTTTGTAGAGGTAGACTGCAGGTCTGAGGTCTGTAAACTGCAGCAGTGTATCACCATACTTCGAAAACAAAGACTCAGAGGCTATACAGCAATGCTAGTAGCTGAGAGTCGTACCTATGGACAGCAGCACTAAATGCTATTCCCCAATCATAGTTGTTGAGATATTTCAGTGTTGACCCAAGTGTTGGAGCCACTAAACGACAGACAGACATTGTCCCCATGAAAGCCACACTGCAAGCATCGAATCATAATGATATCACCAGGAATTGTCTCTCAGATTTACAACATAAATCATGGAGTTGTACTCCTTATGAGGAAAGCACTTAGTTTCACATCTGGTAAAGGAGAATGCTGTAGAATTGAGTTTGCAGTAAATCACCAGATTGAAACATAAGCACCTGAAGTCTAAAAGAAACCTCACTAATAATCTAAATGGTGACGTAAATACAGCTGCCATCATCCATGCTCATGTACTACTATAAACATTTGATCGGATGTGTTATAACTTTATGCTAATTGTGTATTTCCAGAGAACTGCAGTATGCAGAACAAGGAGAAAATCAGCAATGAGCAGCGCACAGATAAGGCTTGTGAGAGTACACCAACCAGCAAAATAGATTTTGGTAAGAGAGCATAAATGGATTGAATTTACTCAATATAGTACTTTTATACACCAAACATGCATTTGTTTGATTGTGTGTGTCTAAGAGGTTGGGAGAAGAAGTGAGCAATGAAACAGATGAGCTAACAATCTACAATGTGTCTGTCCTCAGTGTACAAAATGAAACTGGAAGTGTTTGAAGATGATTTGTCCACAGACATTTACACAATGCGTGTTCTGGCTGTCATCAAAGAAGGTGGGTATCTATTAACTGCCTAAAATGGAGTAGCCCCTGATGTTTCTAGGGTGCCGTAAAGGGTTAGGTGACTTAGCAGTTGGTTTACCTCCTTTTACATTTTGTGTGCACATTTAAACTCAGTCAGACAATAACATACAACTTTTAAAATGTTGGTGAATGCATTTATGTCAGGCAGTTAGACGTCAACACCGGTCATTTTCATGTTTCTAGGCAAAATAAGATGTTCGACTTGTTTCATGTATTAGTGCAGTCAGCAGCTTGTTGACTGGATAATTATTATACAGTCGTGAGTGGGATACATTGAAAGGGGCCCTATTATGCTCACTTTTATGATTCATATTTATATTTTGGGGCTCTACTGCGACATGTTTACATGCTTTAATGTAAAAAAAGTGCTTTTTTAATATTCTCACTGCCTGAGCTGCTGCACCTCTTTTCACCCTCTGTCTGAAACCAGAGCCCAGTCTGCTCTGATTAGTTAGCTGGCCGGCTCTGTTGTGATTGGTAAACCACTTGGAGTTGTCCCGCCCCTTAGCCTCTCATGTAAGATGTGTTGGGGGCTAGACAATAGAAGCGCAAGTGTTATGTAGTGATGTCACTATGTCGCAAAACAAGCCGTCCAATGGAAGAGTTTCGAGCAGGGGGTGGGAGTGTGTGTCTGAAACTCCCTCTGGAGGGAACACAGGGATTTCAGCCTTTGCAGACCATTTACATGCACAACAACCCATACAACTGCAGGAGAGGGAAACCCCAAAAAGCAGAATACAGCCCCTTTCACTTTTGGACAGAAGGCAAATAAGTGCGTTTCCAGAAACGTGTGTTCCTTTCAGAATGATTCCACTGGAAATATGTAATAATAAAGTGCTTTTGTTTTGTGATGAATGATTAGCTATTGTTACGTTCCCTTCTAAATCTAGGGGGGTACAAAGGGAAGTAACCACACACAAGGATGACCAAGCACGACAAAAAAAGGAGAGAAAACCGATCTCTTAGTAACGCACCAGTCGTTTAATGACCAAAAAAGAAACACGGGCTCACCAGCCAATTTGCACAGAATTATACAGCATCGATTATAGCACGGAGCTCCCCTCCTATCAAATGGCAACACACAGGTCTGCACACATGCAGCCAGAGGAGGAAAAACGGAGAGCCCACTGCAGTCTTCCTCCAGGCCTATATGGAGGCCCTGATTAGGAATTCGGAGCACCTGGGGAGAGGCTGCACCTGGGGACAATCAGGCTGCACCTGGGGAATCAGAGGGAGAGAGAGAAACACACATACACGACCACACAAACACTACGGCACGTAACACTTCCCCCCATAAAACCAAACCAGTGTTTGGTCACAGTTACCAACAACACTCATTACATATTTCACAAGCATGCTTGGAAGCTGCCACCTGCTGCTTCCAAGCCACACACTCCGCCACTAAATGACCAGGGTCAAGACAATAAAAACACAATCGCTTAGTGTCGGGACCTGGGAGAGAAACAGAATGAGCACGTGTGACACGTCTGTTACGAGCCCTACAGTGAGGATATTTGCCCTGAGGATACACCTTACCCCCGGCTATATCATTACCCATTATGACATCCACGCCGTCGACAGGAAATTTGGGGAGCACAGCAACTGGAAAGTAACCAGTAGCCAGTTCAGACTGGACATGGACATTGTGAAGAGGTGCAGGCACAAAATCCATTTCAATACCTCTTACCACCATATTCGCATCACAGGCAGACTCATTACTCAAGGGCAGAGCACTCGCAAGAATGAACGACTGTGAGCCACCACTGTCTCGTAACACAGTAACCTGCCGCTGATCCTCCACCTTCCCTGATAGAGAGACAAAAGCAGTGGAGATGAATGGCTTAAAACACTCATCAGGGCCATTTTTAACAGTGGCCTGCCTACTAGGACACACTGTTTTAATCAGGCCCACCCCTTTTGGGTGCTTGCCACCTGCTGCCCGCTCTCGCTTCCAAGCTGCACAGTCTGCTATCATATGACCTGGGTCAAGACAAAAATAACAAGCCCTGTTTATCCTGGGACTTAACACTGGAACACTGGCACAGGGAACGTAATGGTCAGGAGCTCTCCGATAAGTGTCCCGCTGAGGAGGATCACGCTGAAAAAAAACGCTCTTGTGTATCAGCGCAAACTCGTCTGCCAGAGTGGCAGCCTGCTGAAGGGTAGTCACTTTCTGCTCATTCAGATAGACTACCGTACGCTCCGGTACACAGTTTTTAAACTCCTCCAACATCATCAGCTCACACACTAAAGCAATGTCATCCGCTTTACACGCTCTACACCACCTGTCAAAGAGGACTTTCTTCTCCCTCGCGAAGTCCACGTACGTTTGGCCCGAAGTTTTCTTCAGGCCGCGAAAACGCTGCCTGTAGGCCTCAGGCACAAGCTCATATGCCCTGAGAATAGCACCTTTCACATTGTCATACACCAAACTATCCTCGACAGAAAGAGAAGAGCAAGCCTCTTGAGCCTTGCCGACTAGCTTGCACTGTAAAATAATGGCCCACACATTTTCTGGCCAGTGCAGAGCAGCAGCAATGCGCTCAAATGCACCGAAATAGACTTCCACCTCTGATTCACGAAACACAGGGACCAAAGAAATATGCCTGCTCACGTCAAAGGAAGCAGCAGGACCAGAAGGTGTAACTGCGGGATCACCCACCACAGCTGCTTGGAGCTCTAGCTGACGCATCCGGACAGCAGTGTCTGCCTCCAGCTGCTGCTTCCTGATCTCCAGCTCCAGCTCCTGCTTCCTGATCTCCAGCTCCTGCTCCTGCTTCCTGATCTCCAGCTCCTGCTTCCTGATCTCCAGCTCCTGCTTCCTGATCTCCAGCTCCTGCTTCCTGATCTCCAGCTCCTGCTCCTGCTTCCTGATCTCCAGCTCCCTCCTGAGCTGAAAATCCCTATCTCGCTCCTCCCTCTCACACTGGAGACGAGCCATACGGACTTTTACCCTAGCATCTACTTTAGACCCCGTAGGTGAGGATCCTGCCGAGAACGAGCCAAATTGAGGTGTGGTGAAAAGTTTTGCCTGTTTCGTATCACTCTGAACACCAGGAGTAACACCAATGCGGCCTCCACCCTGAGATACTGCTGTTACAGCCCCGGCCACCGCGACAGGAGATTCCACTGAAGTAGGCCGACTCAAAACCCCCTGTTCCACTAGTCCAGTTATCAAAGTAGCCTTTAGTTCACTTTTAACAAGAGCAGAGGAGACAGAAACGTGATAATGTTCAGCAACTAACCGCAAATCAACCTTCCTACAGCAGTCTAGCTGACCCACAGTAGGACTGGCCACAAACTGCTCCAAAACAAAAACCATCCTTAGCAACGGCTACTTATAAATATATTTATTATTACAAATGTTTTATTTTTATTTTATTTTTTTTCAAACTTCCCCAGATCCTGCCTACCAAACTTACCTAACTATCTTCTGGGGCGTGCCGGGCTCGAGGCGACTTTAAAGGCAAACATCAGCGGCCGAAACCCTGAATCGCCTGCCCCCAACAGGGAATAAATCCCCACCCAGGATAACCCCGAAAATAAAAAAGGCAAAATAAAAAATGAGTGCCTGAAGGAAGGACTGATTCAGCCCAGCTAGACACTCCCCTGTCTAAACTGAGGAAGTCAATGCTACCAAACACAATATCAACACTAAACCACAAACAACTACTCACTATTTTTCTGAAAGATTGGACGAGCCCCCATATTACGTTCCCTTCTAAATCTAGGGGGGTACAAAGGGAAGTAACCACACACAAGGATGACCAAGCACGACAAAAAAAGGAGAGAAAACCGATCTCTTAGTAACGCACCAGTCGTTTAATGACCAAAAAAGAAACACGGGCTCACCAGCCAATTTGCACAGAATTATACAGCATCGATTATAGCACGGAGCTCCCCTCCTATCAAATGGCAACACACAGGTCTGCACACATGCAGCCAGAGGAGGAAAAACGGAGAGCCCACTGCAGTCTTCCTCCAGGCCTATATGGAGGCCCTGATTAGGAATTCGGAGCACCTGGGGAGAGGCTGCACCTGGGGACAATCAGGCTGCACCTGGGGAATCAGAGGGAGAGAGAGAAAAACACACATACACGACCACACAAACACTACGGCACGTAACAGCTATCCATTTGATCCTCACCTTTTCTTTCTTCTCCTCATTTTAAATAACAGGAACGTTTGATGTGGGTTCCCTGAATAACCTTCGCACATTCCTCAGTAATCCGCACTGCAGGGAGTCTTTAGATTTGGTTGTTGGCAAAACGTACCTTATCATGGGAACATCAGATGATATTCACAGAGATGAGGCACATCAAACGTAAGTTAGATCTTTCTGTTTCACCGCTTTTTATACTAAATCAAGTCAATATTTGTTGTACTCATTTACTGTTGCCATTGATCAAGTAATAAAGTATCCAGAAGGAGGAAGGAGGCTTTCTTATGTTATGTTTGAATGTTACAGATAGGTCTTCATCATGTGAACAGCTAACGTGTTTTTCACTCTACTCTCCTTAGGTATCAGTATGTACTTGGAGAAAGAACCTGGATCGAGTACTGGCCCACAGAAGCTGAGTGTCAAGCTGATGAACACAGACCTACCTGTTTGGGCATGGAGGAGATGGTCCAGACGTACCAACTCTTTGGATGTCAGCAGTAGTGAAACTCAAGAAAATTATTGTTTTTGTAATTGTTTATATTTGGACATTATTCCCATCTTGTACGACTTTCACTGCTATAAGATTTATGGGCTTACAATGTTGCAGTGTATTGATTACAATTAAATGATCTCAATCTCATTTTCTGTGTCTTATATTCATATTCACTTTTAGTTAATGTAGAAAATTAGACAAATATTTAACTTTTATGTTGGTTATAGTAAACTTTGATGAGTTGTAACCATTTAAACTGATAATTGATGTATTTGTTTTAAGTGTTTAAGTCGTCTTCTTCTGCAAAATACAAAATATAATGTGTATTTTTGCAGGCTGAGGTCCCTAAAGAGCCAGGTGTGGTGATGTTGGGTCCCCATGCCATTTATCAATCAATCAATGTTTATTTATATAGCCCAATATCACAAATGTTACATTTGTCTCAGTGGACTTCACAGTTTGTACAGAATATCAGTATGACGATACGACACCCTCTGTCCTTAGACCCTCACATCGTACAAGGAAAAACTTCCCGAGAAAACCCACAGTTTAAAGGGAAAAATGGGAGAAACCTCAGGGAGAACAACAGAGGAGGGATCCCTCTCCCAGGACGGACAGACGTGCAATAGATGCCGTGTGTAAATTGAAAAGATAATACATTTGCAACATAGGTAGTCCAAATGTTTGGAAATGCATGTGTGTATAATAGGAAGATGAATCCATGAGGATATCCATCCAGGACCTATGATCCAGGACCACAGCCACGACTCAAGATCCAGGGCTCGCGATCCAGGACACAGGACCACAGGATCATCCATGACTCCGGATCCCGGCGTATATAGACACCAAAAAGAAAGAAATGTGGGGAAGCTGGGTTAATCGGAACATGAGAGTACACAGGTATAGACAGAGAGAAGGAAGAAGTAAGATGTCCCCTGACAAACTAAGCCTATATCAGCAAAACTAGGGGCTGAATCTAATCAGCCCTAACTATAAGCTTTATCAAAAAGGAAGGTCTTAAGCGCACTCTTAAAAACGGATAGGGTGTCTGCCGCCCGAACACAAACTGGAAGCTGATTCCACAAAAGTGGAGCTTGATAAGAAAAGGCTCTGGCTCCCATTGTACTTTTAGAGACTCTAGGAACAACCAACAACCCTGCATTCTTGGAACGCAATGCCCTAGTAGGACAGTAGGGTATAATGAGTTCTTTAAGGTAAGATGGCGACTGCCCATTAAGGGCTTTGTAGGCGAGAAGAAGAATTTTAAATTCTATCCTGTGTTCTATAGGGAGCCAGTGAAAGGCAGCCAGAACAGGAGTAATGTGGTCCCTTTTCCTAACTGGTTAGTACACGAGCTGCAGAATTTTGAATCAGCTGAAGCGACTTGACTGACTTCTTGGTACACCCTGATAATAAGGAGTTACAATAATCCAGCCTTGAAGTAACAAATGCATGGACTAGTTTCTCTGCATCGTTTTGAGGCAAGATATGCCTGATTTTTGCAATGTTACGTAGATGGAAGTAGGCGGTCCTTGAAATTGATTTTATGTGGGCGTTAAAGGATAAATCCTGATCAAATATAACACCAAGATTCCTTACAGTCTCACTGGAGGCCAAATTATTGCCATCCATAGTTAGTATATCCTTAGATAATTTGTTTCGTAGATTCTTCGGGCCAAGTACAATAACTTCAGATTTGGTCGTGTTTAACATCAAAAAGTTTAAGGTCATCCACATTTTTAAGTCCTTGAGGCAGTCTTGAATTTTATTTAGATGATTAATTTCATCAGGCTTGATTGATAAATATAGTTGAGTATCATCCGCATAACAATGAACATTTACAGAATGATTCCTTATAATATTGCCTAACGGAAGCATATATAATGTGAACAAAATAGGTCCGAGCACTGAGCCCTGTGGCACTCCATGGCTAACTTTGGTTTGCGTGGAAGATTCATCATTGACACGTACAAACTGAGAGCGTTCAGATAGATAGGACCTAAACCAGTCTAAAGCAGTTCCCTGTATGCCAACTAAGTGCTCTAGTCTTTGCAATAAGATATCATGGTCGATAGTATCAAATGCAGCACTGAGATCGAGCAAAACAAGAATAGAGACACGTCCCTTGTCAGAGGCTATTAGAATGTCATTTGTGACTTTAACCAGAGCTGTCTCTGTGCTATGATGTGTTCTAAAGCCAGACTGAAAATCTTCAAATAAATCATTGTTTTTTAAGTAATCACACAACTGTTTTGCGACCGCTTTCTCAAGAATTTTTGAGAGGAACGGAAGATTGGAAATAAGTCTATAATTGGCTAAAACCTCTGGATCGAGGTTGTGCTTTTTAAGAAGCGGTTTTATCACTGCTACTTTGAATGATTGTGGAACATAGCCTGATAATAAAGACATATTCATAATATTTAATAAATAAGTGCTAATTAATGGAAAAACTTCCTTCAACAGCTTAGTTGGAATTGGGTCTAACATACACGTTGATGGTTTAGAAGAGAGAATCATTGAATTTAATTGTTCAAGGTTTATGGCTGAAAAGCATTCTAGTTTACTATCTAGTGTAATATTAGAACGTACGTTTCCGGGAGCTGTTGATAACACTATACTGGTCAAAGGCAAGAGGTCATTAATTTTGTTTCTAAGAGTAACAATTTTATCGTTAAAAAAGCACATAAAATCATTACTACTGAGTGCTATGGGAATAGAAGGCTCAATCGAGCTGTGGCTTTCTGTCAGCCTGGCTACAGTGCTGAAAAGAAATCTTGCATTATTCTTATTCTCATCTATTAATGAAGAGTAGTAGGCTGCTCTCACTTTACGCAGTGCTTTCTTATATTCATTGAGAGTAATATGCCAAATTAAACGAGATTCTTCAAATTTAGTGGAACGCCATATCCTTTCAAGTTGTCTCGACTTTTGCTTTATTTTGCGGGTTTCGGCATTATGCCATGGAGCTAATCTATGTTGTTTTATTTTCTTCTTTTTCAAAGGAGCAACAGAGTCTAATTTTATTTGCAGCGCATCTGTAGCACTATCAACAACATGATCAATTTGGGGTGGTGTACATTTTGTATAAGTTTCCTCCCTTACATGCAGACATGCTATCGAGTTAAGTATTGGTGGAATCTCTTCCTTAAATTTGGCTATAGCACTAACAGATAGGTTTCTGCTGCAGGAGCTTTTGACTAATGCTTTGTAGTCTCGTAACAGTACTTCAAAAGTTACTAAGAAATGGTCGGATAAAGCAGGATTATGCGGTTCGACTAATAGTTGCTCAATTTCAATACCATAAGTCAGAACAAGGTCGAGAGTGTGATTATAGCAGTGGGTTGGTTTATTTACACTCTGACAAAAACCAACAGAATCTAATATAGAGTTAAATGCAACAGTAAGGCTATTTTTATCATCGTCAACATGAATATTAAAGTCACCTACGATAATTACTTTATCTGTTTTAAGAACCAAAGTTGATAAAAACTCAGAGAATTCAGATAAGAATTCTGAATAAGGACCTGGTGCACGGTACACTGTAACAAATAAGATTGGCTTCAAAGTTTTCCAGGTCGGATGCGTAAGACTAAAAACGAGACTTTCAAAGGAGGTATAATTTAATTTTGGTTTAGTATTGATAAGTAAACTTGAGTCAAAGATTGCTGCAACTCCACCTCCTCGGCCCGTGCCTCGGGCAATATGAGTATTGATATGGCTGGGTGGAGTGGCCTCATTTATGCTGACATATTCTTCATGTCTCAACCAAGTTTCAGTGAGACAGCATATATCAATATTATAATCTGATATTAAATCATTTACCAATATTGCTTTAGATGCTAGAGATCTTATGTTTAAGAGACCACATTTAATATTCCTGTTTTGTTGCACTGTAGTAGTTGTTACATTTACTTTTATTAGGTTATTATGTATGACACCTCTATTAGGTTTTACCTTAACTTGTCCTTGGGCAGACACACACACCGCTAATATTGGGTATTTTATTGGGTTCGGGATTCCTATGGATGACTGCCTAGGAGAGAGCGCAGAGAAGCGTGTAAGACTGCGACTCCGCCTCCTGGTCTCAACTCCAGTTTGTCATGGATTAAGTCCACAAAGCCCTGAAATGTTTGCCGAAATGAGATTTGCACCTTCCAAAGTAGGATGAATGCCGTCTCTCTTAATCAGACCAGGTTTTCCCCAGAAGGCTGTCCAAATATTTACGAAGCCCACATTGTTTGCTGGGCACCACCAAGACAACCAGCGCTGAAATGATGACATGCGGCTATACATGTCATCATTGATCAGATTGGGGAGGGGACCAGAGAAGATTACGGTGTCCGACATTGTTTTAGCATAACTACACACCGACTCCACATTAAGTTTGGTGCATTCTGATCGGCGTATACGAACATCATTACCACCGACGTGAATAACAATCCTACTGTATTTACGTTTATTTTTAGCCAGCAGTTTAAGATGCGCCTCAACGTCGCCCGCTCTGGCCCCCGGAATGCATGTGACTGTGGAGGCTTCGGTCTCTAATTTCACGTGTCTCATGATAAAGCTACCAATAACCAGAGTTGGCTTCTCAGCGGGTGTCTCGCTGAGTGGGGAATATCTGTTAGATACGTGAACGGGTTGGTGGGGATCTGCGGGTTTCGCGTTATGCCCCTTCTGAACAGTCACCCAGTCTCCCTGCTGCTCGGGAGTTGCCGGGGGACGGCTAATAGGAGCTACCTTTTGCCGGTCCGCACCGGCTAACATGGGCTTTATTATGAAAACTTCGAGACCGGAAACACTGTTTTCACCCACGCTAACTTTACATGGAAGCTGCACACGTTATCCTGGCGAGACCTCAGATCATCTTCGTAAATATCTATCAAACTATAGATCCTACACATCCACTGGACGTGGATTCTAAAACTACAATATACACTTCTCGCCAGAAATCGAATCAAAAACTGGTGGCAGAATCAAGTCAGATTGTATAGAAGTCTAAGAGAAAATAAACCAACACATTTTCCAAATTAGTTTATGGTCACAATCGCTAGATTTTAGTCTTCTTTATTGAAGCATGATGTTCATTTGATAAATGATGGTCCTTTTTAGAGTAAATAGACTATTAATCAGCGTATGCTTTATGGCGTGGCCACCATGAGATTGAATAGTAGCTAAAATAGTGTTATCCGGTTGGGATGTTGTCCATGTTTTAGTTTTAGACTCTCTAATAGTGTGTTTTCAGTTCATGAAAGGTCATTTTTTCCTTTAGGTTGCCTAAAAATGTGTGAATTCCGGCTCTTCTTGGTGGGCCGGATCATTTGGCTCAGCTCACCAAGAAGAGCCGGCGCTTTCGTCTCCCAAACGGCTCTTCAGTTTACAACATATTATACCTTTTATAATTCAATCAAATGTAGCCCTGTTTTGACTAATGATTTATATGTGTACACATATATCACTTAAATTATTCAATACATCCTTACTACTGAAGTATTCAAAAGTAAAAATTACATGTTTAATATAAATGATTTGCTGTGGCCAATTGTTTTCATTGCATTTTGTTGGAACACCACCCAATGGCGGTGATGGAAGGTTCACCTCTGCTCCGTGCGTCCCTTGATGACTGATGAGCTGGTCAAATTTATAAAAGAAGGAACTCAAAGCACCAGAATAAAGGTTAAACAATAATCTGTTTTAATGGTAAAAGCAACAATACACAATGCAGAGCACTCTGCAATAGTACAAAATACAGAGTACTCCAGGCTCAATTCCTACCACCGTGTGATATACGTACCACGACAGCCAGTCAGAAAAAGAGCGCAGAGCATGAGAATATCATAATATTTATACACACAAGTGGGGAGGAGTTGTGTCGGTTGCTCCTCCCTAGCTATTTGTTATTGGCGATTTCACTTCTGGGCGAGCCCTAGACCGTGAGCTGGTAGGTCTCCATTGGCCAGTTTCACTTCTGGGCGGGTCCAATACAGTGAATCAGAGTTCTGGGAAAAAGTATTTTACTTCTGAACAGAGCGTGAGAGCTTCAGAAGTAAACAAGGACAGAGTCAATCTTTATCTTGCACCTGAATTCACTCCTTTACTTTCCCAAGGAATATTTCACACAAACTATTATTTCCCAGACAATCAAACATTGTACACAGATATATTGGTGCCTGAGATTATATTGGCCCCAGAAAGAACCTTGAAAATAATATGTGTGTGTGCTGGTATCTGGGTCAGTGAGTGTAAGTGAGAAGGTTATATATATAGGATTACAGTAAAACAGTCCCAAATAATACATGTTCACTTCAATACAGTTTAAAATAATACATGTTTACTTTAATACAGTTTAGAACAATATCTGTTTACTTTAATTTACAGACCCTTGTAACTCTCTGATACCACCCAATGAATGCACTGACTTGCTTGTCGAACCACGCTACACAAAGCAGATAGCAACACCTATAAAAACGTAAGCATAGACATTTAAAAAAAGGGGCTACTGTATCGACATTTTAAAATTATATTTAAAGAAAAGGCCCGGACAAAACAGTAGGGCTCTATTTCAGTATTAACTATAGAAAAAAAGACAGCAACAGCTGACATCAAATCGTTGCTGAGCCCAAGGATAATCATAAATAAATAATATAGTGAAAATAAATGTATTGCAATGCTCAAAACAGCAGCATCCAACAGTCTCTAATCCTTGGATATTACATGTCACTGCATGCAGGCACGGAGGGTTACTGCATGGTCAATGCATGCAGGCATGGAGCACCTGCATGCGGAGATCATCATATCATTCTGTCTTGTATTACTTAAAAAAATTGTTGCCGGCTCCCGTCGTTCACTTAAAAGAGCTCTTTGAGCCGGCGCGTTCGGAACCGAAACATCACTACTAAAAATGTCTATCTGTCTGTTCTCGCCTTATTCTCTTTCCTCCCTTACTTTTTGTACAGAGTCTACCCCGCAGTATAGACAAAGCGGTGGCCTATCTGGAAAGGCGTCTGCCCAGCCTCACCAACCCATATGCTGTTGCCATGACATCATATGCCATGGCCAATGAAAACAAAATGAACCGCGAGATCCTCTACAAGTTTGCTTCCCCAGGTGCTGTTACTATTCTTAAACTATTATTTGGAAACATAGTCTATGTTTTGGTGATTAGATTCAAAACGATTTCTCATCCACAACTACTAAGAGCCGGACCAACACATTGGTATTATGGGATGATTTTTGCTCAGTACAGAAATGTCAAATGTTTGAACTAATTTAGAAACAGTCTCTAATGGACATAAATAGTCTTCCAGCCATACGATGTCCTGTAACAAATACTGTTAACACTTTTTGAATAACAGATATATGGGGATTTGTTAAAATTCTTAAGAGCGAGCACATTTTGATATTTTCTAATGTATTTTATTTATACATTATTTTCTAAGATGAAATATCCTGGATTATAAGTAAATAGATTGATGTATAGAAAAGTAATGGGAAGATATTTATTTGTCGTCATTAGAGTTGAACCACTGGCCCACACCTAAGGGAGGTATCTACACACTGGAGGCTACGGCGTACGCTCTTCTCGCTCTGGTCAAGGCTGAGGTGAGCATGTCACATTTATGTGTGTTCCTTTCATGCTACAGACAACATACAATTTAGTCCTTATCCATGCTACTTTAATATAAAGGTTTGTATTCAATTTTCAATGAAATGTGTCAATCAGTAATGTCACAGCCTTAAAATATAAGTGAAATTTTACCCTTTTAAGTATCCAATATTTTAAAGGTGGGGTAGGTAATGTTGGAGAAACCAGCTCGAGTGCGCTAGAATTTGAAAATACACAGCCGGAACAAATCTGCCACTTCCTTACAGAGCCCCTCCTCCAACACACACGAACGTGCACATGACCAATGAGAGCACGAGATAAGTTTGTGCACAGATGGAAGGCTGACAGGCAGGTAGGCCATCCAGTTACTTTAGCCGGGCCGGCTCAGATGATTGGTCGTGCTTTTTACAGTACCACGGCTTCCACAGATGACTTTTTTTAATGGATTTTTTGTCAAAGCACTTGAGATATTCATTGCTATCCGGATTTTAAGAGTATTCCATGGAATATAACAAGTGTATATCGAGCCGGTTTCTCAAACTTACCTACCCCACCTTTAGGTATTACAATTATTAAGTAACCGATTTCATTTTTTCAATATTTTTAATTTTTGTATCATTCCAATGTGCAGTGAATGACAGAAAAGTTCAACCATGTACCTTCCTTCTGTGAATAAAGGCTTTTGAAGATGCCAAACCTGTTGTGAGATGGTTCAACGAACAGCAGAAAGTTGGCGGAGGCTATGGATCGACTCAGGTAAGAAGAGACTCCTTTCTCCATCTTGATCCCTCCATCCTGTTTTAGATTATCATTTATTTTGTTCTGATTAATTTCCCCCCACCTCCCTCTCTTAAGGCCACCATTATGGTGTACCAGGCAATATCAGAGTACTGGTCCAGTGCTAAAGAACCAGAGTACGATCTGAACGTGGACATTTTGGTGCCGAGCAGGACATTGTTTGAGATGTACAACTTCAACAGGGATAACCACTATGCCACAAGGACATCTAAAGTAAGCACAGACACAAACTCACAATCAGTGGCTCATTAAGGTGGCATATGTTTGTCTCAACACTAGGGGTGTAACGGTTCACAGAAGTCACGGTTCGGTTTGTACCTCGGTTTGGGGGTTATGGTTCGGTATGGGTTCGGTACAACAAGAAAAACCAAAAAAAAGTCCCAAATGCATAATTCCAGGTTTGTTGTTATTTATTTTTTAACAGTAGTGCAAGTTGCAGTTTAAAAATAAGGAACTGACATTTTGAATAATTAACTGTATTAAACAGTTAAAAACAAACCACAAACACTCAGATGGCCATATTATCTATAATGGCTGATGTCAAACAAAAAGGTTTCATCAAGCTGAAAAACTAAAAAGAATGTTGTTAGGTTCCCAATTGGCTAGGGGGACAAAAGGGAAACGACACGACCAGAGTAGAATTGGTATTAATTATAGGTGATTTATTTTAAATAGCAGCGGTAAACAAAATGGAAGGTGTGCAGCCTGAAACAAACAAAAGGGCCAAAAAGGGCACAGGTTGACAGATAACCAAACTAAGGGAGGACTCAAAAGGAGTCTAAAGGCATACAGGGAAAATAAATACTAATATACTAAATAAAGAACGAAACAAAACCTCACTTCAAGAGTGGTACAATTAACAAAGGGAGTCTAAACAAAACACACAGCTAAACTAAAGGCAACAGTCACAAATCCTAACGATACTCTAAACACTAACTAACCTACTCTATACTCTACTAACACACAATATCACACGGAGATAAACACACAAGATTAGCCACAGAATGAAGAGCAAAATGCGAGAGGCGTCTGTTCGCTCAACAGAGCCTCCAGAGTGATGATTGTCCCCAGCTTTGTAGTCCTCTCCAGCAGGTGTGCGCTGGGCTTGCACAAGGATTGGAGAACGTCGGCCCGACGTGCTCCAATCAGTGTCCTCGGAAATGGACCAGGAGATGACAGCCAATGATGTTGGGGCAACCACACAGCTCATTTGCATAATCACACACACAGCTGAAAACACTCAGGCAGATTAATGAGCAGACAAACAGCAACTGTAACAAATGTCTTGAAAATATTACATCATAAATAAATAATAAGAAAGTGTTTCAAGAGCGCAAAGTCGTTGAAAATATGCCAAAAGCTCCCATTATTTATTTTGGTCTCACGGCTTTCATGTCTCTTGGCTTCTTAAAAACAGCGGGGATCAGCTGTTGAACTGCTGCTGTCTTTTGCCGGGCTCCGGTGATTGGCAAATTTGGGTGATGCCTTCTGATATGATTTAGCATGTTTGGCGTGTGTTACCATTAGCATACCGCACCGCTATCGAACAACGGCGACACACCGTCCTCGTCCGATCCACCACTCGCACACTTCATCGTTGTAGTCCACAGGGAACCCGGAATGTTCCCACACAGCTGATTTAAAAGAAGCAGGTGGGTTCTAGCTCCTGTGTGTTATCTGAAATCGCCATATTAGTTTTTCTTCTTCTTGTATTTGGTTCGTTTTGTTGTTGTGTTTCTTCTTGTTCTTCATGTGTTGTTTAAGGGCGGCTGGCAAACAGCTTTTAGGCGCAATACCGCCCCCTGGATTATAAATAGTGTAGTGGATACTGCCCTGAATGACAGACTTTTTTCCCACTCGTCGTGTGACTGCATGTGCCGAACCGTGACGTCCGAACCGTGACGTCCGAACCGTGACGGTACGGGATGAATATTGATACCGTTACACCCCTACTCAACACAGTTTGTGTGAACAGATTGAAATCATGCATGTGTATATTGTGGGTAGTCTCCTAGAATACAAACACATCTGTAAACTCTCAACAAATAAATTGAACTATAAAAGGAGGGGTCTGAGCTCATGCGGGACCCGGCAGTTACTGTCTAAACTAAATACTGCCGTGATGAAACGTTGGGTTACGTATTGTAACCCTTGTTATATTAGCACAGGCGGAGCCCTCTACTGGACTCTACTGGACTCTATGGGTACTATCTTACCCCGCGAGCATTCTCCCACTGAGACTTCTATAGACGTAACCGGCCTTGGGCGGGCCTACCTGAATGCGCGCGCATCACACCGTATAAAAGGAGGCCTCGCCTCCTGACTATCATCCTACACCTCTCTTCAGCGAGCGGAATAGGACAGACACTACCCTGAGTAGAGGGCTCCGCCTGTGCTAATTTAACAAGGGTTACAATACGTAACCCAACGTTATATCTCTCACAGGCTCCGCCCTCTACTGGACTCTATGCGTACAGTGGGTGGAGCCGCGATGTATACGCGCACTGTCGTCCAACAACAATATTCCACCCTACTGCCCCTGACTGGCTTTTATGGTCAGCAGCTGCTGCCCCACATTCTCCCTTAACCCGGTTATAACCGAGGAGAAAACTGGGCTGTGGCTGACAGAGCACACCCTGCTGCACTTACCTCGCAGAAAGTGTGCTCAAAAAACAGTGCCGGGGGACCCCCCCCCCCGCCCATAGATGGATGGGGAGAGCCCTCTCGGCCCCGAATTGGCTTACTACACGCCTGCCTCCCTGAATCCCTAAGGATAACAGGGAGAGCGCCAGAGCCCACGTCCCACACTCAAACACTGACCCTGTGCAGAGTGTGTGGACTAAAGTGTGGAGGGCTACCCCCCTCCTGCCGAGAGGCCCAACGCGCCCCTCGCCCATCCCGGGACCCTCAGAGGGCCCGAGAACAGCGAAGGCGCATTACGTCCGGGGAGGGGGTCAGATGCCAACTGACCCACAACCCCCCCCCCCCCCCATACCAGTCCTGTGTTGCCCCCGTAAGCACGGACGAGGAGAACGAGCCAGACATGTCCAAGAGATAAAACCTTATGAAGGGGCCTGGCGTCGACCAAGACACCGCTGTGAATATATCCTCCACACTCTCACCGTTGAATAAAGCTGTTGACACAGCTACAGCCCGTGTGGAGTGCGCACGAGCCCCAGTGGGGCAGGCTCTCCCTGCCTGTCCGTAGGCATGTGCAATGCACTCGCAGAGCCAGCCTGCCAGGCGTTTCTTGGACAGAGCTTTCTCGATCACCCCGCCCCAGAAGCACACGAACAGCTGTTCGGTGCGTCTAAGGGCAGCCGTGCGATCCACATAACATGCTAGCGCACGCACCGGGCAGAGGAGGTGCAGTTTAGCTTCCCTGTCCCCACCATGGGGGGGAAGACTAAAACCCCCTAACTGAATAGCCCTTGACCTGAACGCACTCCTTAGGCTCTTGGGCACAAAGGAGGGGTTCGGTCTGAGTGTCGTGCCGCTCCGGTCACCCCGAATCTGTAAACAGCTCGGGTGCACTGACAGAGCGGTTAACTCGGACACTCTTTTGGCTGACGTTAAGGCAAGAAGCAAAGCTGTCTTCCACAACAGTGCCTTTAGGGCGGAGAGCTCCAGAGGCTCAAATTGTTCTAAGACCAGAGCTCCGAGCACTAGGGGCAGGTCCCACTGCGGGGTGGAGGCGTGCACTACTGGGCGCAGCCACCTGACCCCCTGTAAAAACCGCAACATCAGTGGTTGACTAAAGGTTGACCTGCCGCCAAATCCCTCATGGCAGGACGAGATGGCTGCTGCATACACTTTCACTGTTAAATGTGCAAGCCCTCTGTCCACCAGTAACTGTAAGAAGGAAAAAATAGAGCCTAACTCACAAGATAGGGGCTCTATTCTCCTCTCCTCACACCCTCGCTGGAATCCTAGCCACCTTGGCCTGTAACCGGCTGTGGTGGATCCAGCTCTAGCTGCCTGGATAGACTGAATAACACTGTCAGACATTCCACCCTGTCTCAGCCTGTCCCTCTCAGGAGCCACTGGAGAGGTTGGCCGAGAGTGGGTAACGCCTAGGGATGGGTATCGTTTGAAATTTATCGATTCCGATTCCGATTCCGGTTCTGCTTATCAATTCCGGTTCTTATCGATTCCCCGTTTCGATTCCAAAATTGTAAAAGAAAGAGGTCAAACGTTTAGATAACAAAAATATCTTTATTCTTTTCAGCTTTAACTGAAATTGTTACAAATAAAAAATATACATGCAATACAAATTTATTGCACAATAGCTGTGCTTTATTTTAACTGAGCTATGCCTGTGGTAAGCTATTAACACTGTGCCCAATTGTCTTTTTATTTTTTAGTGTAGTGGAGCCTCACTTCAGAGCGTTTACCGCGACCCATCTTTGGTGTTATGAAGTGACTGAGCTCGTGAACTGTCTACGGGAGGGCGGGGGGAGCCTCGCTGCGGGGCAACTGTGGACCTCTGTCGCCTGTCAGCGCAACTTACATGATGCCGTTTAAAAAAATGAAGGGCGGTGCCGGCCATCAGTGTACCGAGCCGGCCGTCAACGGCCCGCTGACGACCGGCCGTTCTGTGATTCTCCAGGTCCGCCCTGTATTCCACCGGGTCGCCGCGGTACAGACGGACCCGCTGGAATACAGGGTCTACCGCGTTTAGGAACCGTTAAGCAGAACCGAAAAGGTGTATTTTGTACGGGTACCCGGTACCCGGCATTTTCTTATCGGTTCTCATCTGGAACCGAGTTTCGGTTCCCAACCCTAGTAACGCCCCGATTGCACCTGCCTCTTGAGACATCGCCCCCCATTCTTCTTTAACTGGGGAACCGCCCAGGGCTGGCCCACCTTCATCTGTGTCATCTCTGAGTACCACGGCACCCCGACGCGGTCCGGAGCCACTAGGATGACTGACAGACGTTCTCGCCTCACTCTCCCCAGGAGAGGGAGAATGAGACGCAGCGGTGGAAAGGCGTATAGCAGCTTCCTTGGCCATGGCTCATGTGCAAACGCGTTCACCCCCAAGGACGGGTCGTCGCCCAGGGCCATGGAGAACCACAGGGCACAGTGGTTGTTGCACCGGCTGGCGAACAGATCCACTTCTGCTCTCCCGAACTGGGCCCAGATCTGCTTCACCACCTCTGGGTGAAGCGTCCATTCGCCTGGCAGGGGGCCGCCCCTCGACCTGAGGTCGGCCCCCCTGTTCTCCAGTCCCGGGATATGGAGGGCTCTCAGAGATAAAACCACCTATGATGCCCATAACCACAGCCTCTCCGCTGTGGTCAACAAGGCGGCGGAGCGGACTCCGCCCTGCCTGTTGATATAAGCCACTGTGGTGCTGTTGTCGCTCCTGACCATTACATGTCTCCCTTGAATTAGGGGTATGAAATGCTGGAGGACTAACACTACCGCCCATAGCTCTAGGAGGTTGCTGTGTCGAAACTCTGTTAGAGCCCAGCGCCCACCTATAGCCCTCTTCAGGCAGGTCCCTCCCCATCCTGTTCTGGATGCATCCGTGAACACTGTGATGTAGGAGGTCATCCGTCCCAGTGGAGAACCCCTCCGGAGGTGATCCGGGGACCCCCAAAACCGGAGGTTGCACTCCACTGAGGGGGGGATGGTCACCAGCCGCCGTTTGTGCCTCTTGGGATCCAAACGCAGGCTGGAGAACCACCTCTGCAGGCGGCGCATATGCAGTAACCCCAGCGGGACCACAATGTGAGCAGCCGCCATGAGACTCAAAGTCTGCATGACAGTTAAAGCTGTCACTGTCGCCCCCTGTCGCAGCCTGTGAACCGCCCGGAGAAGGGACGCACTTCTGCTCTCTGACAGGGTGGCGTGTAGTGCGCCTGCATCGAGCACCACTCCCAACTACAACGCCTGTTGGTGAGGTATGGGGGTGCTCTTTTTTCAATTGATCGCAAAGCCTAATCTGATTAGGTGTGTGATCAATTGTGCTGTGCAAAACATTGCCTGTTCCCGGGACCCAGCCATGACTATGAGGTCGTCCAGTAAAAGAAAACTCTCATGCCGTGGGCGCGCAGCGGTTGAAGCGCAGTGGCCTCACATTTACTGAACGTGCGTGGGGATAGGGAATAGCCCAACGGTAGTCTGTTGTACTCGTAGGCTATCCCCTGGAAGGCAAAACGCAGACACTTTCTGTGCCCTGGAGCAATTTCTACATGAAAGTACGCGTCTTTCAGGTCGATGGTGGTGAACCAATCGCCTGGCTGCACAAGCCCCAGTAACTGTTTCATAGTTAACAAGCGGAATTTCCTGCAGGAAATGTGGCGATTCAGGCCGCGGAGATCTAGAATAGGTCTGAATTCCCCTGTCTTCCTGAGAACCAGGAAGTACATGGAATAAAGATCATTTTCTCTGTGCTGAGGGTGCACAACAGACACAGCCCGTTTCTGCACCAGAGCCTGAATCTCTGCTGAGAGGAAACACATCTCCTCCTGGGAGGACAGATTTACCTCTTGCATGCCCATAAAAGAGGTGGGTGTGGGACACCCACAAGACAGTGGTCCATGTGATACAGTGGTACAGTGTATAGACATGTGGTACAGTGGGACGCTGCAAAACTGCAGTGAATGGCCCCGTTTCAGCGTCCTGTCCCTCCACCTTGTAAGCACACAGCTGAGTTTCCATTCCCCAGAACATTGTGTTAATGGACAAGCCCTCAGCTGTGGGGCCGCAGCTATAAAGCTGTGATACTCTCTGGTGACCCGTTCCGCCGCAAAACTCCCCGCGAAGGGAAGATTTGGAGGGTTGACACAGAAAGGGCCGATTATTTACTGAGGACCCTGAACGCACCGCCGCGCGCTCACACAAGCTCCACCCTAATGATGTTCTCACCACTACAGTAAACAGCATTAATCGGAGTCTTTATAGGCGTAGTGTGTTTCACTGAGGTCCCTGAACGCACCGCCACGCGCTCTTGTGTGAGTGCGGGCTTCGCCATAATGCAGCCTTTACCACTACGGTAAACTGCATTGGAGTCTTTGCTCTAGGCGTAGTGTGTTCTCTGACAGTAATGCGCCGGCCATAATGTCCCTGTACCCGCATAGTGCTCTCCCTTAGATAGCACTCCCTGCGGTTCATCCCTCTCATCTGTGCATGCCCACTAGCCACCTCCTTTACAGGAGCTACAGCTGGGGCAGCGAATGGGGAATTTGTACGGTTAACATTGTGTGTAAGTGTAGCCCTTGTGGAAACAAAAGACACTTATATTTGGATACAGATCAACCTCATTCTTATTAGAAAACGTAGTGATCTGTGCATTATACAGGGAGGAGGCGGGATTCGCCCGCTCTTCCCGGGCGGGTAAATACGGAAAGCCCGTCCCCGTGAGTGCCGGCACGCCGGTCCCACGGGGTGGGCCGAAGAGGTGGAGGGCGCCGCGGGCACGGGATCTCCGTGCCGGCACCTCTCCCTTCGTCTCACCTCTCTACTGAGGTCTGTGAACGCACCGTGGCCCGCCCTCGGGGGAGGGGGGCCGCGCGCGCCGTCACAATGCCGTCTCTTTGAAACGGACATTATGGGGAAAAGTGGAATTGTGGAGAGAAATTACTCTTACTCTGGGATAAATGCAATAGTCTTACTGAATGAATTTTTCCCACACACACATCTCACTCCAGAACTAGAGTTTACAAACGTAAACCACCGTTCTCTTGCGGGGGTCCCTGAACGCACCGCGGCCACTCTCACCAGGGCCGCGCGTCCACGTATTAACGCTGTATTTCCCATTGCAACAGTGAAATGCATTAATCGGAGCTATTATACCAGGCACCTGTGTGTTTTCTGACAACAGCAAGCCGGCAATAGCGTCTCTTGAACCCGCACAGTGCCTTGACAGCACTTGGTTTATTCCACTCACGTGCACACGCCCACCTGCTGGCTCCCTATACTGGGGTTTACAGCAGGGGCGGGGAGTGTAGGACAGTGTTTCTTCCTCTGGGAATGGGCAAGAAGCAGCCACGCTGTGACTACTCCTCATCCCGTGAGCAAGGAGATCGATCCAAAGAGCCCTTCCGTAAACACGGAGGCTCCCAGGAGATCAACACGATCCTCTTTGGAAAGTGCCACGCGGCGTGATATCCCAGGGACATCACACGGCGGGCAGCGGCGGCGGCCTGTGATGAAGTAGGGTCGACCCTATATCATGTGAAGCCACCGAGCACCGGTCCCCGGGGGAACCGGGCCTGGGGCAAGGCCCGTGGACCAAGCTACTTATTCGGCCTTGCGGCATCTCTAGCAATGAGTGAGTAGCCCACACACCCGCCGCCATGATCATCATCCAGGTAGAGTACAGCCCTGGGCGGTGGACTTACATGGACGCCAGACCCGGAAGGAATGGCGAACGTGAATGGCACCGCCTCGGCCATATCCTGGTCCCACAACCACTCGAAGCAAAGGTGGTGGGGATCGGCGCCCGTTATTTCAGCCAGGGCACCAAGGACAGGCCCGGGTCTCTAGCAGTGGCGACTCCCTGGAGGTATGATAACTCTTTCTTCTTCTTTCAAACGTCTCTCAGTCTCTCGTGGAATCACTTCCGCTTCCGCTGCTGAAGAGAAAAGGATGATAGTCAGGAGGCGAGGCCTCCTTTTATACGGTGTGATGCGCGCGCATTCAGGTAGGCCCGCCCAAGGCAGGCTACGTCTATAGAAGTCTCAGTGGGAGAATGCTTGCGGGGTAAGATAGTACCCATAGAGTCCAGTAGAGTCCAGTAGAGGGCGGAGCCTGTGAGAAATATAACGTCATATCATGGATTATCAAGGATTCTCTCTGAAACAGTCTGGAGCTCAAAGGCTTTCTCTCTTGCCGGTTATACCACAAGGTGAGTTCCTTTTTACTTCCTGCTTCTTCACACACATGCTCTCCAGTACAGGTTAGCTCTGAGTGTTAGCGATGCTAATGTAAACATTATGGCAAAAATCATAATCTCGATTATTTGGGTCAATAATTGATATCACGATTATTAAAAATGATTATCCATTCACTTTGTAAACATCCATTTATTGGAGAGAAAAAAATGTGAATAGTATGTTTTTAACAGTTGATTACCCGGAACTTTAAGTATAATTGAACTGAAAAACCAATAAAGAAAAAAAATATAAAAAATAATAATAATAATCGTTTTATTTAGATTATGTTGTTTTCATAATCGTTGCAAGCCAAAATCGTAATTGCTATAAAAATACGATTAATTGAGCATCTCTAACCGACCATATTACGTCCAAAACAGTCGGGCATTGGTTCTGCAACGTTTACGCAGGCGCCTACATTTCCGATATTACGTCATATCGGACGCAAATCTGGATCAGCTCCATTGTACCCCCGTTTTTAGAGATTTGGGTACGGAGGAAAAGAGAGAGGGTTTTATTTTCTGACGCTGCGTGAGTTCCCTGACACATATTTATGTATAAAAGACATACAAAAGTGCATTTTGCATGATAGGTCCCCTTTAACTTTTGAACTTTATCTAGTTTTATTTATGAATTCTAGAGTCCCTTGAGGATCTCAATTCTTCCATGTAGATTTGCCAGATTAATCAGATTTTTTTTGAAAAAGTTTTAAATGTACAGCTTGCATATTTACACACTGATTGTTGATTTCGTCACACAAATAATAAATACTTTAATATCTGCTTATCCTTGACTGCTTGTGTTTGTGTTCATATTTAAACTCTGACAGATCAAAGCTATAAACCAGAATGTGACAGTGACTGCCAGGGGTTCAGGAGAAGCAACAGTGACAGTGAGTACAATATATTTGTATATGTTCAAAAGACCTCATGTAAGACGACACAGGAAGTGAGGATACCCGGCCCGGAGGAAGCCCGGGGTCCCCTTCTGGAGCCAGGCCCAGAAGGAGGACTCGTCGGCGAGCGTCTGGTGGCCGGGCTTGCCACGGAGCCCGGCCGGGCCCTACCCGAAAAGGCAACGTGGGCAACACCTCCGTTTTTCCATCCCGCGGGCCCACCACCTACGGGAAACAGCGATGGGGTCGGGTGCGCTGCCAGAAGGGTGGCAGTGAAAGCGGAGGGTCTCGACGGACCAGACCCGGGAGACAGAAGCTAGCTTTGAGGATGTGGAACGTCACCTCTCTGGGGGGGAAGGAGCCGGAGCTTGTGCGGGAGGTGGAGCATTACCAATTGGATCTGGTTGGGCTCACCTCTGGAACCTTACTTCTGGATAGGGGTTGGACTCTATTCTTCTCCAGAGTTGCTCAAGGTGTGAGGCGCCGGGCAGGTGTGGGGATACTCACAAGTCCCCGGTTGGGTGCTTCGTTGTTGGAGTTTACCCCAGTGGACGAGAGGGTCGCCTCCCTAAGCCTGCGGGTTATGAGTATACGGCCTTCTTGGAGACCCTGGAAAGAGTCCTGTATGGGGCTCCTGAAGGGGACTCTTTAATCTTGCTGGGAGACTTCAACGCACATGTGGGCAATGATGGAGACACTTGGAGGGGCGTGATTGGGAGGAAGGCCCCCCTGATCTGAACCGGAGTGGTGGTTTGTTACTGGACTTCTGTGCTAGTCATGGATTGGCCATAACAAACACCATGTTCGAACATAAGGATGCTCATAAGTGTACGTGGTACCAGAGCACCCTAGACAGAAGGTCCATGATCGATTTCGTTATCGTATCATCGGACCTGAGGCCGTATGTTTTGGACACTCGGGTAAAGAGAGGGGCGGAGTTGTCAACTGATCACCATATGGTGGTGAGTTGGGTCGAGTGGCGGGGGAAGCTGCTGGATAGACCTGGTAAGCCCAAACGTGTAGTTCGGGTGAACTGGGAACGTCTGGAGGAGGCCCAAGTTCAGGAGGCCTTCAACTCACACCTCCGGCGGAGCTTTTCGGGCATTCCTGTGGAGGTTGGGGACATTGAACCAGAGTGGTCGGTGTTCAAAGCCTCTATTGCCGAAGCAGCGGCGGGGAGCTGTGGTCTCAAGGTCCTAGGTGCCTCAAGGGGCGGTAACCCTCGAACCTCCTGGTGGACACCGGTGGTCAGGGAAGCCGTCCGACTGAAGAAGGAGGCTTTCAGGGATTTGTTATCCCGGGGGACTCCCGAGGCAGTTGCAAGGTACCGACAGGTCCGAAGGGCAGCAGCCTCATCCGTGGCCGAGGCAAAGCAGCGGGTGTGGGAGAAGTTTGGAGAAGACATGGAAAAGGACTTTCGGGCGGCACCAAAGTTGTTTTGGAAAACTGTCCGACACCTCAGGAGGGGGACGCAGGGAACTATCCAAGCTGTGTACAGTGTTAGGGCGTTGGAAGGAACACTTTGAGGAACTCCTGAACCCGACAACTCCGCCCTCTATGTTAGACGCAGAGCTGGAGTATGACGGGGGATCAACACCAATCTCCCGGGGGGAGGTCACTGAGGTAGTCAAACAACTCCACAGTGGCAAAGCCCCGGGGGTGGATGAGATCCGCCCAGAAATGCTGAAGGCTCTGGGTGTTGAGGGACTGTCATGGTTGACATGTCTCATCAACATTGCGTGGAAGTCGGAAAAAGTACCGAAGGAGTGGCAGACCGGGGTGGTGGTTCCCCTTTTTAAAAAGGGGGATCTGAGGGTGTGTGCCAATTACAGAGGCATCACACTACTCGGCTTCCCCGGGAAAGTTTACTCTAAGGTACTCGAAAGGAGGGTCAGGCCGATTGTCGAACCTCAGATTGAGGAGGAACAATGCGGATTCCCTCCTGGTCGTGAAACGACGGATCAGCTTTTTACTCTCGCAAGGATCCTGGAGGGGGCCTGGGAGTACGCTTATCCGGTCTACATGTGTTTTGTAGACTTGGAGAAGGCGTATGACAGTAAGTCGGACCAATTTCCGGTGAGGGTTGGCTTCCGCCAGGGCTGCGCTTTGTCACCAATCCTGTTTGTAATATACATGGATCGGATTTCGAGGTGTAGTCATGGGGGAGGGGGTCTGCAGTTCGGTGGACTAAGGATTGCACCACTGCTTTTTGCAGATGATGTGGTTCTAATGGCTTCATCGGTCTGCGACCTTCAGCACTCACTGGATCAGTTCGCAACTGAGTGTGAAGCGGCTGGGATGAGGATCAGCACCTACAAATCTGAGGCCATGGTTCTCAGCAGGAAACCGATGGACTGTCCACTCCAAGTAGGGAATGAGTCCTTACCCCAAGTGAAGGAGTTCAAGTATCTCGGGGGTCTTGTTCTCGAGTGAGGGAACAATGGAGTGTGAGATGGGCCGGAGAATCGGAGCAGCGGGAGCGGTACTGCAGTCGCTTTACCGCACCGTTGTGACAAAAAGGGAGCTGAGCCAGAAGGCAAAGCTCTCTGTCTACCGGGCAATTTTCGTTCCTATCCTCACCTATTGTCATGAAGGATGGGTCATAATAATAATAATAATAGATTTAATTTGTTAGCGCTTTTACAGGTGCTCAAAGACGCTTTACAGATATAGTGAAGGGAAAAGAAAAGGAAGGAACAACAAATACATATATAGTTAAAGTTAAAGTCAAATAATACAAAAACAATCACACATTAAAAGTCAGATTGAAGAGGTGAGTTTTTGTGAGTTTTTTAAAGGTGGTGAGGTCAGTGCAGTCTCTGATGGGTTGGGGGAGTGAGTTCCAGAGGGAGGGGGCAGCGACGGAGAAGGCTTTGTCCCCCCAGGTCCGGTGATTGGTGCGGGTGGGGATGGATAGGAGGTTGGCTTCTGATGAGCGGAGGCAGCGGGAAGGGGCGTGGTGGTGCAGCAGGTCTGTGAGGTAGGGGGGGGCCTGATTGTTGAGGGCTTTGTGAGTAATGAGGAGGACTTTGAAGTTGATTATTTGACGGACAGGGAGCCAGTGGAGGTTCTGGAGGATGGGAGTGATGTGGTCTCGGGAGCGGGTGTGGGCGAGGAGGCGGGCAGCAGAGTTCTGGATATGTTGGAGTTTATTGATTAGGTTGGATTGTATGCCGTAGAGGATGCTATTGCAGTAGTCGAGTCGTGAAGTGATGAATGCATGAATCAGGGTCTCAGCAGCAGAGGAGGAGAGTGATGGGCGGAGACGGGCAATATTTTTGAGGTGGAAAAAGGCGGTCCTGGTGATGTGATTTATGTGGTGGTTGAATTTGAGCTGACTGTCGAAGATGACTCCGAGGTTGCGGATGTGAGGGGGGGAGATAGAGTGTGGCTGTCAATGGTGAAGTTGAAATTCTGGATGTCTTTGATACGGGATGGGGGGCCGATGATGATGATGTCTGATTTGGCACTGTTCAGTTGGAGATAGTTTGTTTGCATCCATGCTTTTATTTCTGAGAGACAGTTGGTGAGAGTGGAGTCTGTTGTGGGGGTGATGGTTTTTGTTGAGATATAAAGTTGGATGTCATCGGCGTAGCAGTGAAATTGAAGGTTGTGGCGACAAGTTATTTTGCCAAGGGGGAGCATGTAGAGGATGAAGAGGAGGGGGCCAAGCACCGAACCCTGGGGGACACCTTGGGACAGAGGAGCAGTGGAGGAGGTGCAGTTGTTGATGTTGATAAACTGATGTCTGTCGGTGATGTAGGATTTCAGCCAGGAGAGTGCAGTGTCGGTAATGTTGAGCGATGATTCGAGGAGGGACAGCAGGATGGCGTGGTTGATGGTGTTGAATGCTGCGGTGAGGTCGAGCAGGATGAGGATGTTCAGGTTGCCGGAGTCAGAGGAGAGGAGGAGGTCGTTTGTGATTTTGAGAAGAGCTGTTTCGGTGCTGTGTTTTGATCGGAAACCGGATTGAAATGGCTCAAAGAGATCATTGGAGCTGAGGTGGGCTTTAAGTTGTGAGGCAACGACACGTTCAAGTATTTTTGACAGAAAGGGGAGATTTGAGATGGGCCGGAAGTTGGACATGATGTCAGGTGTGAGTCCAGGTCTTTTGAGAATGGGTGTGACAGCAGCCAGTTTGAGAGAGGGGGGAACTGATCCAGATCTGAGGGAGGAGTTAATGATGGTGGCGATGAGTTGGGAGATGGCAGGGAGGCTCTCTTTAACAAATTTGGAGGGCATTGGGTCAAGTGTGCAGGTGGAGTTAATTCCAGTCATGAAGTCGGACAGTTGCATGGGGGTCACAGGGGAGAAGTGGGACAGGGGCTGTGAGGTGAAGGGGGGGAGCCAGGAGGGGAGGTGGGGGGTGCTGATGAGGGTGTCAGATTGCTGTAAATGTGGCTGATTTTGGTTTGGAAAAACGAGAGGAAGGAGTTGCACTGTTCGGTGGTGAAGGATGAGGTGGCGTTGTCACAGGGTTTGAGAAGTTGGCTGATGGTGGAGAACAGACGCTTGGGGTTGCTGGAGCCAGACTGAATGAGTTGTGAGTAGTAATTAGTCCGGGCTGCTTTGAGTGCGTTACTGTACTGCTGGAGATAGTCTTTGTAGATTTGAAGATGGACTGTTAGTGTGGTTTTCTTGTGTTGGCGTTCAAGTTGACGTTTCCTTGATTTCATTTGGCGGAGTTCGGGGTATACCAGGGGGCGGAGTGTATGAAAGAGACATTTTTTGTTTTTGTGGGGGCCAGTTCATTGAGACAGAAGGAGAGGGTGCTGTTATAATAGTCCACAAGTTCAGATGGGTTCTCAGAAAGTGGGGGGGGGGGGGGGAGACAGACATATTGCAGGTAATGGAGGCAGTGATTGCTGAAGGTGAGATGGATTTGAGATTTCTGTAGGTTATTGTGCGTTTTTGCTTTTGGGCGGGGATGGGGATGTCCATGATGATGGCCAGGTGATCAGAGATGTGGAGATTGAGGCTGGACAGATGATGGATGGTGAGACCAGTGGAGCAGACCAAGTCCAGGATGTGACCACGGCTGTGTGTTGGGAAGTTGATGTGTTGAGAGAAGTTGCAGCAGTGAAGGGTTTCCTTAAATTCAGAGGCATATTTGTAGGTCGGGTCGTCAACATGAATGTTAAAATCACCTAAGAGGAGAACAGATGGGGATATGGCAGAAAGCTGAGTAAGAATGTCAGAGAGGTCGGAGAGAAAGGAGTGGTTTGGCTTCGGGGGACGGTAGATGATGGCTGTGACCAGGGGAGTGGGACCAGAGAGTTTAAAGATCAGGTGTTCAAATGAAGAAACATCAGGGATGGGGATTAAGGTAGCTTTTATTTCCTTTCTGATAATAGCAGCTATACCACCACTCCGCCCTTGTGGGCGAGGTTTGTCAATGTATGTGAATCCTGCTGGGGTGATTTGATTTAAAGAAAAATAGTCCAGGGGTTTTTGCCATGTTTCGGTCAGATACAGAAAGTCCAGGTTATTGTCTTTAATGAATTCATTTAGAATGTGGCTTTTATTGTGGATGGAGCGTGTGTTGAGCAGGGCTGCTCTGAGGTGACGTTGCATGGGGGGGGGTTGTGTGGACCGGGGGAGTGGAAGGAGATTGGTCAGATTCACGTGTTGTTTGTTGTGATGGCGTAGTGTGGGCGTGTGACAGGACCGAATGGACGGGATGGAGTGTGGAGACGTGGAATGAAATAAAAACGTACGGCCAGAGCCTCTGTGTGAAGGACGGCGTTTGCGGAGTATTTCATTATCTGCGAGGATGTCCATGCAGTCCGGACGCAGGCGGTTATTAAAGGAGTGGAGATCTGACAGGGAGTAAAGCGGCGGCATGATCCGGTGAAGTGGCGCTAGCATGGAGCTAGCTAATGCTGGGGACCCGGGCAGCAGAGACCAGGAGCCGGATGACCGTGGAAGAAGGAGCGGTGTGAGTCCAGATAAAATGAGAATTATAATCCACAGCATATCAGGAGAATAATTCCAGTGGTTTCCAGAGGAGAATCGTAGGAGGGGCTGACAGCCTGGTGCAGAGTGGGAGCCGGGTGACCAGCCTACTAGCTGGTTAGCTAGCTTGATAGCCACCGGCTGTAGGCGGCAGAGAGAGACGATGTCAGCGGGGAAGCCGGCTGATCGCAGCGGGATGGGAAGACCCACACGAGCCGCGGAGTTAGGGTGGAGTTGGGGTGGAGACAGAAATGTTAGCTCAGCAGACTTCATGGAGCCGAGGAGCATCTAGGTAGCAGCCTGCTAGGTCCGATAATGCTAGCTAGCTAGCGGGCTAGGGACCGGTGAGCAGGAAAGAGCCAGCAGGTAGGAGATGGCAACACAAATATCTGTGTCGATTCGATATATAGATGCTGCTATTTTTGCTGATGACTGATGTCATGACCGAAAGAACGAGATCGCGGATACAAGCGGCCGAGATGGGTTTTCTCCGCGGGGTGGCTGGTGTCTCCCTTAGGGATAAGGTGAGAAGTTCGGTCATCCGGGAGGGACTCGGAGTTGAGCCGCTCCTCCTTCGCGTCGAAAGAAGCCAGTTGAGGTGGTTCAGGCACCTAGTTAGGATGCCACCTGGGCGCCTCCCTAGGGAGGTGTTCCAGGCACGTCCAGCTGGGAAGAGACCAAGGGGTAGACCTAGGACCAGGTGGAGGGATTATATCTCTTCGCTGGCCTGGGAGCACCTTGGGATCCCCCAGTCAGAGCTGGTTGATGTCGCCAGGGAAAATAAAGTTTGGGGCTCTCTGCTGGAACTGCTACCCCCGCGACCCGACCACGGATAAACGGGAGAAGATGGATGGATGGATGTTATACTCTGAGTTTAAATAACAGTTAATAACTGATCCGTCCTTTTTTTTAATTTTACCAAATACCCTTTTAACCTTGTGAGGACTCATATCAGATATTGCACCTTCTCTGTGACAGATGGTGTCGCTGTACTACGCTCTGCCTAAACAAAAGGAAAGTGATTGTCAGAAGTATTACCTGTCAGTGCAGCTCATCCCAGGTGATGTAGTGCCTTCTGTCTCTTCTTCGTTTGTTGTACCTTACTCTTGAGAAACAAACTAAATATGAATATAATATTTTACTCCTTGTTTAGAGTCGGCGAGGTCCTGATAATTTATTCCGGTAAATTACTCTGACCTACTAATTGACCTGACCGAAGTTATTGAGTCTATGTAAGTTTACTGCTTGGCTCAGATCCACCAACGTCAGCAAGATCTCACCTCTTCCTAACCCCCGAAGAACCAGGTTCAATTAACTGCTGTTTCAATTCAGACAACTCTTTTTTAATCTGTTTAAGGGATCCCGAAGGATTTTGATATCAGTAAATGGAGTGTGCTCCTACCTAAGTGTGTGTGGCAGGGTGCAATCTTACCTTTGAAGCAGGAGAGGGGAGCACAGATGTCTTTTAAGTTGTCCCAGTCCAAAAGGTAGGATCAGTTTATTTGAAGAAAAATAGGTCCAAACTAATACAGGGTTTTTACCTTCTCTCTTTACAACATTATAATCATACTAAAAAAAACCGTGCTGTGATCATGTTCAAATATGAAACTTTAATTCACAGTCTTACATTTATTACCAAAATGTTTAATTTCAACTGCCCAATTCAGTTGTGACATTTTAAAATTCCCCCGATAGAATTTAGAGGTATTTCCTCATAAAAAGACCGGTGACAATAAAAAGCGCATTCAACTTTTCATTCACCAAATCAATTCACATCAGTTTCATACCTTTTTTTCCGACGCAGACGGCGGGTATAACATTCAAAAATCTGTTCCTATCCGCATTAATTCGGAGGAAGATTCCTCACAGGTGATGGGTCTAATATTCATAATTTTTTTCCGACACAGACGGCGGATAAACATTCAAAAACCCATTCCTGTCCGCAGTAATTCAGAGGAAGATTCCTCACAGGTGGCGGTTATAATATTCAAAAACACATCTCTCATCAAATCATTCCACTCAGCCAACAACCAAGAAATTTGAGAGATATTTACCAAGTGTGAGAGGACATTACCGAGAGCTATTATCCCAGCTCTGAAGGACAAAGCCTACCGGGAGAGAGTCTACCAGGGGAAACCCCCCTCTCTCTCGCGCTCTCTCAAAAAACCAGTCTCTTTATGTTCAAAAAACCGGATCGAAACCCCAAAAAACAAACACCTCCTCCACACCCAATTTGTGGAAAACTGGGCATGTCCTCTAATGTACAGGGCTGGACATGACCCGACATGTTTTTCTCCTTCAGTAAGGAGCCCCCCTCCCTGTGAACTGCTGTCAGAGGAGAGGGAAAAAACAGCCTACTCTCTTATCAGAGAGACCCATAATTCTTATAGGCCTTACACTCAACTTAACAAACCACTTGGTTTTGTTTATACTGTAACTATAGAAAAACCTAAAATATGAAGCATTTTCATTGTGGGTTATACAAGAATATAATTGATTATATTTGATTATAACTAACTTTCGTTTTAAGTATTAAACATACTATGAAAACTCTCAACATCCTGCAGAAAAAATGGATGAGGACGAGAATATCTACAAGCTGAGGATAGAAGTGTTGTAAGTACAACCAAGGCAACACACTGCCACATGGCTTTATTCATACCATTTTCTAACCAGCTATTTACAATATTATTATATATCACAATCTGTATTAAATATTCTGCTTCTGTTCATTACCCTTTTCACTATGTTCTTAACACTTTCATTTCCTTCAATCTATTCTGTGTAATAAGGACAAGGAAAGAGATGCAGCAATGTCAATTTTGGATATTGGCTTGCTAACCGGCTTCACCGCTAACCAGTGGCGTCTAGAACATTTGACATGGGGGGGCAAAGGGGAGGCAAGAGGTCATGCCAGGGTGGCATAGGAGGGCGGACAGTACGTGGTATGTTATACTGTATATAACCTATTTATTGTTAATTCATGCCCTAACACAAGTGTTCTTAATGCACAAGAGAAACAAGGTGTTCAGCCAAACAATCGGGTGCCCTTTGAGTCCCCCAAGCTTACCTCAACCATTTTAAATGAAAGGAAACTACAAAATGTATTTTAAAGCAATACAAAATTAAATATATATTTTGTTTTAAAAACAATTGGTTGTCTTAGAGTAGACAGACATATTTGCATGTCCTCACTAAGCATTATTACTAGGGCCGGGACTTTAACGCGTTAATTAAGATTAATTAATTACACAAAAATTAACGCGTTAAAAAAATTAACGCATTTTAATCGCACTTATTTTTGCACCGCGTAACGTTTCTCACTGGATGAGTTTCAGGCGTACCGATTATACTGGAGCACTAACTAACGTTCATGACTTCAGACAACAACAAACCACAGTGAACAACAGTGGGAAATGTTGTTTTAAAAAACGGACGGATGGAAGCGTCGATAAGAGCACGGTTGTGTGCAAATTATGCAAAAAGGAATTCGCATATCACCGCAGCACATCAAGCCTCAAGTATCACCTCAATGCAAAACATATAGCAGCTAGCGTGGACGTTAGCCTCTTTTATCGCGTTCACACCAAACGAGCTGGTACTAAAATTAGTTCATGAGAACCTTTTTACCCCCACGAAAGTCCCTGCTAGAGAGCAGAGAGCTGCTAGAGAGCAGGGACTTTCGTACGGCTCTCTTGTGAGAAAAGAGCTATATGTCTGATTGGCTGGGCGGATTGCAAACCACGCCCCGTAAAACTCCCAAAAAGTTTTGTGAAGCCGCCATTTTATTATCCTCGAATTAGCATTATTAGCATTAGCCCAGTGCAGAAACGCAGAGAGACTAATTTATGGCAACACAAAATAAAACATGGGAGCGGTGGAGATGAGGAGGTGTCGGCGTTCTGGCGATTTACTCGGAAGGCTTCAGTAGAAGCTGCTGGGACTCCCAGCAGCTTCTACTGAAGCCAGTCCCCAACTCCGGGGACTTCCGGCCGGGGACTTTGGGCGGCAGTATACGTCGTGAAGTGGTTTGCGGCCTGCCAGTAAACCCAAAGCAGAAGAAGAAGAAGTGACGTCAGCGGCTTCATTTGCCTAATCCCCAGGTTCAAAGAGTTCTCATGAACTAAATTCTCATGAACCTTTGTGGGAAAAGTACTGCGGTGTGAATGCGCCTAATGGTATACTAAAATCCATGTGAAAAAAATTGCTTCTCACTGTTCTCAGGTCAAATATTTATATGTGATTAAAAATGCGATTAATTTCGATTAATTAATTACAAAGCCTCTAATTAATTAGATTCATTTTTTTAATCGAGTCCCGGCCCTAATTATTACATATTAATTTAATATTAAACAAATCAAAATGGCCAATTATCCCAAAATGTTGCTGCTAATATAATCATATGCTTGTCAACTTTAACTGATCAAAAATCTATTCTGAAAAAATACTTGAATTATCTATGAAATTGCAATATTGTCCCTCAGTTTGTTTCAACCCCGTCACGCCATACCATTTACCCTCCTATTAAAATAATGGATCAGTCCATGTGTGATCTGCATTGAGGGAATTACATCACAAAAGTGTCAGTTTCTTCTCTTACCCTATATTTCAGTTTTTGTATTTTCAGATTAAGATTGACAAGCTCAACATTTCAACTCTGTTATATGAATTAATAATAGTAAATAATTGTTTATTACAAAAATAAACAATAGTTTTGCAAAATATTACAATGTTGTAATGTCCTTGATTTCCATGTGGTGCCATATCTTAGCTAAACAAGGTCTCATGCCTACTTTTTGTCAAAAACGTCAAGCCTGTTACATTTTTTCAAGGAAATTCCTAGTAATTATTTATATTTTGTGCCTGAGGTGGGAAAATGTAAGTAGTCCACTACCAGATGTTATGACCAAACATTTTGGTTTCATTTTTCAAAGATATAAAGACCCAAAAGGCACCCGATTCAGAGAATACTCTAATTCTGCATACTGTAAGTACTTAATTATATTTAAGTACACAAATGACATCACCCATCTCTTCAGAGAGCTAAAGGTGACCTGTGCAGCAACACATTTCAATCAATATTTGTCAATACTAAGAGCTGCTAGATTGAGCTGCTGTGATGGAATATGTAAGGAGAATAAGAACATACCATGTGGTCCAGCTGGAGTTTCATCTGCCTCTTGATCCCTGCCTCTGGCCCTCTCTCTGACACTTCATCTTTATTCCTCACATACATTTCTTCTTCTTCACTAATGTCTTCATCTCCTCCTCTTCCTCCTGCTCTGACCCTCCTGGTCTCTTCAGCTCTCTTTTCCTTTTCCTCTTTCTGTTCGTCCTGATCACTTCTCATATGTCTTTTTGTTGTTGTTGAATCACTCCTATACTCTGGCCTGCAAGAGTCTACTTGTGAAAAGCACTGGTACAAATGCTTGTATAACTTTACACGTTAGGGCCATGTAGCCTAGCTAATAAGTAGCATATCATCAGAAAGTATTTATCAAACGCACACAGGCAGCTGTGTTTAGATCCAGTTTTAACTTATTCTTAACATAAATGGCAACGCCACCACCTTTATTAGGCCGGTCGGTACGATACACATTATAACGATTTAAGGCAATGTCAGAGGCCAAAATAGATTTGTTTAGCCATGTTTCTGATAAAACAATGACGTCAGCGTCAGTCGAGCTCGCCCAAATATGGACAAAATCTAGTTTACCTAACAGACTGCGCACATTCAAGTGGATGAAACCCAACCCAGATCTAGCTTTAAAATCAGCAGGAGTAGCGATCTGACTACTACTACTGGGCGGACCAGGGTTAGGTTGTACATTTCCTGACAGTAATAACAACAACAAAAAACAGGCATATTTTCCTCTTAAGCGACACACATACATTGTCATCTACTTTAGAATCACCGGAAAAGTCTGCGAGAGTGTGATTTGAGCTTAATAAGCAGTCCTGAAGAACCATCATCGCAGGAAAACAAAAAAGACAAAGATATTTTGTCGAGCAGATTGACTGTGACAAGGCAACCGGTAATTGTTTGTGTAACACATCCGAACCTTTGCAGGGGATGCCCACTGCGGGTGGGCAGAACAGACCTGAATCCAGAAGACTCCTCAGAATGATTAGAGATCTTCTCATAGTCCAAAATAGTTAACAGGCACAGCAGAATCCCGATATGGGCCATTTTCCCAGACCAGCACACAGAATCCGCGATGTTCCTGGAGCAAAATCAGCACAGCAGCAAAGGACAGACGAAAGCAGCAGCGTGGTATCCCCGGGGTGAAAGCAGGCCTCTGCAACAGCAGAACCAGGACAGGTGGAAAGCAGGCCCCAGCCGTGGTAAAATCCTCCTCCGCACAGCAGCACACGCCCGGTGGAAGCAGGCCAAGCGCGAAGCGTGGATCCACTCCGTCTCTCCGCGACGACTCCGGTGCAGCCGTACTCTACAGGTGGGAGCAGGCCTCCGTAGATCGCAGATCACAGGCAGCAAACAGGTGGAGCCGCTCCGTCTCTTCACGACGAGCAGGCCTCCGTAGATCGCAGATCGCAGGCAGCAACAGGTAGAGCCGCTCCGTCTCTCCGTGACGACTCCGGGGTAAAAACCTCTCCAGTGCAGCCGTACTCTACAGGTTGGAGCAGGCCTCCGTAGATCGCATATCGCAGGCAGCAAACAGGTGGAGCCGCTCCGTCTCTTCGCGACGAGCAGGCCTCCGTAGATCGCAGATCGCAGGCAGCAACAGGTGGAGCCGCTCCGTCTCTTTGCGACGTCTCCGGAGGAAAAACACCTCAGTACAGCCGTACTCGACAGGTGGGAGTTGGCCTCTGCAGACAACTAAAACGACTACTTGTATAAGCAGGGATGGCTAAATGTTTGTGTGTGTACTTTTATGTAGTTTACCGTTACTGTGACATATCAGTATAGCCACGGAAGATAGTTTGTGTGATTCATTCCCATGCATCAAGGTTATTTTCATGTAGCCTATGTAATTGTTTTTCCTGCACAGTGTAGAGTCTTGTTGTGATGAGAGGGATACAGGTATTTCATTAAAAAAACGTGCTCCCTGGAGAATAGGTACAGAATTGATATCACAATTTAATCGAAGCTGATCACAACTTGTCATGAGTGATCCAGTCATGTCGATGAGCATTCGGGCTGTGAATAAACAACTTGTGTTTTACTTTTAGGCTGTCTGAAGGTATGGACAGCTATCAAAGCTACTATACATCACATTAAGAACGATGTACAGATGAAAGTCGGACACAAATATATAATTTAAATGATTTATTCAAGTTTGCAATATTTTGAACAGGCATCCACACAGTCACCTACTTTGTAATGTTCGATACCTCTCTGTAAGCGTCACGATATCCACCTCTCACCCACAACCTCACATACGAGTACTGAATGTGCATCAAAGTGATCTTTGGAAGGCAGATATAGCAAAAGATGAACGTAAACGAAAAACGAGGCGATCGACATGGTAAGTCAACAATGGGTCCTCAATGTACACGCCCCGGATTCCTATGACGAAAATAATAGAATGTCGCCAGTTGTCATGACTCAAGTTATACTGCAACACCGGCCCGGCTAAAGTAACTGGATGGCCTACCTGCCTGTCAGCCTTCCATCTGTGCACAAACTTATCTCGTGCCCTCATTGGTCATGTGTGCGTTCCTGTGTGTTGGAGGAGGGGCTCTTTGAGGAAGTCTGAAGGAAGAGGCATATTTTTTCCGGTTGTGTACTTTCAAATTCTAGCGCACTTGGGCTGGTTTCTCCATTCTTACCTACCTTTAACTCTTTGTAGGGTGCAGCTATATGTTTTATTTATTAAAAAGTGGGCCCATTTTAATAATAGGACTCCCCAAGTGCTGTGTTTAATTTATTTTAAAGTAGGCCTGTGTATTATTTTTAATTCTCCTTATAAGAGTTCTTTGTTTCTTATTAGAGGTTAACAGTTTTATATCATGTAATAAATAGCCTAAACGTCTCAACTCGGGGCGGAGTGAATGAACAATGTTTGAACTAAAATGGCCACTCGGCACTACCGGGTCAGAGCACGGCATATCCGGTCAGCGACAGCAGTGACTCTGCCCTCTAGTGGCCGGCGATAAACTCTTCATCCCCCCCAGACCGGAAAGCTATGGGCCGGAATAGATTAACGGTCTAAATCCCGTATCCAGCTGCCGGACTCGGGCTCGTAACGTGCAGGCGGCCTCCTCACTGGGAGCGGTGCGCCCAGGAAGGCACCCATAGGAACGGTGAGGTCAGAAGACGCCTCATCAGCAGGCGCCGGTGGGGAAGCGCCCATAGCCGAGTCGCGGGGGTCCAACAGCCGGCCGCTGAGCAATCCCCTGGGGCGTGTTGAGATCTTCATATGAAGTGAATACTTAAAACGAAAGTTAATTGAGATCATGGTATGAAGTGAATACTTAAAAACGAAAGTTAATTAATAAATCATACATGATCAATCATATTCTTGTATAAACCCATAATGACAATGCTTCTTGACGGTTTTTGAATATGTATGTGCTTACAATTTTTTCTGTTGCTATTTTGATAACTTTGCGTTTTGAAAAGAGGGTGTTGTGAGTTTTCATAGTATGTTTAATACTTAAAAACGAAAGTTAGTTATAATCAAATATAATCAATTATATTCTTGTATAACCCACAATGAAAATGCTTCATATTTTAGGTTTTTCTATAGTTACAGTATAAACAAAACAAAGTGGTTTGTTTAGGTTGAGTTTTCTTCCTCTCCTGTTACAGCAGTACACAGGGAGGGGGGGCTTCACACTAAGGAGAAACACATTAAAGGCCAAAGAGAGTTCATGTCCTTTTCACACTAACATGAGGAGGTGTATCTCATGTCATAAAACTATGGAACATGTTGAGACATGTTTAGCCTTGTACATTAGTGGGCATGCGCAGTTTTCCACAAATTGGGTGTAGAGGAGGAGTTTATTTTTGGGTTTTCGATCCAGTTTTTTTAGCATAAAGAGACTGGTTTTTTGAGAGAGCGCGAGAGAGGAGGGGGGGGGGGACCCCTAGTAGACTCTCTCCCGGTAGGCTGTGTGCTTCAGAGCTGGGTAACTAGCTCTCGGTAAGGTTCTGCCAGACGGGGTAACTATCTCTCGAATTTCTTGGTTGTTGGCTGAGTGGAATGATTTGATGAGAGATGTGTTTGTGAATATTATAAATACCGCCACCTGTGGGGAAAATCTCGCCCCCGAATTTTTGCGGACAGGTATGGGTTTTTGAGTGTTAATCCGCCGTCTGTGTCGGAAAAAGTGTATGAATATTATAAATACCGCCACCTGTGGGGAAAATCTTGCCCCCCGAATTTTGCGGACAGGTATGGGTTTTTGAGTGTTAATCCGCCGTCTGTGTCGGAAAAAACGGTATGAAACTGATGTGAATTGAGTTGGTGAAATGAAAAAGTTGAATGCGCTTTTTATTGTCACCGGTCTTTTTACGAGGAAATACCTCTAAATTCTATTGGGAGAATTTTAAAATGTCACAACTGAAATGGGCAGTTGGAATTAAAACATTTTGGTAATAAATGTAAGACTGTGAATTAAAGTTTCATTTGAACATGATCACAGCACGTTTTTTTTTTAGTATGATTATAATGTTGTAAAGAGAGAAGGTAAAAACCCTGTATTAGTTGGACCTATTTCTTCTTCAAATAAACTGAATCCCACCAGTTGGATTGGGATACTTTAAAAGACACCTGTGCTCTCCTCTCCTGCTTAAAAGGTAAGACTGCACCCTGCCACACACACTTATGTAGGAGCACACTCCATTTACTGATATCAAAATCCTTCGGGATCGCTTAAACAGATTAAAAAAGAGTTGTCTGAATTGAAACAGCAGTTAATTGAACCTGGTTCTTCGGGGGGTTATAGAGGTGAGATCTTGCTGACGTTGGTGGATCTGAGCCAAGCAGCAAACTTACATAGACTCAATAACTTCGGAAAGGTCAATTAGTAGGTCAGAGTAATTTACCGGAATAAATTATCAGGACCTCTCCGACTCTAAACAGGCGAGTCGCCCAGCCTGGGTGGATAGGTAGGGGCTGATGTCCCAGGGCGGCGGCGACGCCGACTGCTCACGGGCGCAGGGTGTGGCCGGCGTGTAGGCACGGAGGAACCGCCGGTTGCGCAGTGTCAGACGTCCCGAACCGTCAACCCTGACCCTATTTAGAGAGAATGGACGTCCATTCTCAGGAGACGTCTGACAGTTGTGCGGTTACCCAAAGTGACACGTCCATTCTCAGGAGACGTCTGACAGTGGTGCGGTTACCCAAAGTGACACATCCATTCTCAGGAGACGTCTGACAGTGGTGCGGTTACCCAAAGTGACACGTCCATTCTCAGGAGACGTCTGACAGTGGTGCGGTTACCCAAAGTGACACGTCCATTCTCAGGAGACGTCTGACAGTGGTGCGGTTACCCAAAGTGACACATCCATTCTCAGGAGACGTCTGACAGTGGTGCGGTTACCCAAAGTGACAGAGCCCCAACGACTGTAAGCAGGGTCCCTCAGGCACACAGGCAGAGATCCAGGGTGATGCACATGGCTTTCTTACCCAGGAATGAGTGTGTGAAAGCTGGGTAAAGGTGATGTGAACAGAGGGAGAGAGCAGCATTTCACAGGCATTTCACAGGCACATAGGCAGAGATCCAGGGTGATGCACATGGTTCAGAAAAAGTCTAAGTTAACTTTTGGAAGAACCAGAGAAAAGGGTGAAAATGGATAAAAATGTATCCCAAAATAGTGTCTCTTAAGGCGGATATAGTCCCCTGACAACTCCCGTTACATTCCTCCAGAGTCAGAAAAAGTCTAAGTTAACTTTTGGAAGAACCAGAAAAAAGGGGTGAAAATGGATAAATTGTACCCCAAAATAGTGTCTCTTAAGGCGAGTAAAAGTTATATGAATATGGGGTGACGTATATGGACACTTGAGCACCAGCAAGACCCCCACCTCAATAACCTTTTGCAGCAGGCGAACCTGTGTACCCACACTTAAGCACTCCCCCACAGACTAAACCAAGAGGGAACACCGGTCAGAAGTGCGTGCCCCTGGTAACATTGAATAACAAAAATGCCATTAAAACTGCTATGCATTGAGGATTTTAGTCCGAGATGAGTTCTTATCTGTGGGTATCTTGTGTCAGCTTCGTGGACCCCAATTTAAAAGGAAATGTCCATGATATTGACAAACATATTTATATAAAGAATGATGATTATTTTACCCTCAGACACATGCATAGAGCACCCCCAAGTGTTGGTTTACAGTTGGTAAAATGTGTCATGCCGATGGCAGGGACTTTGCATTGGAAGTTGACATCACATTTCCATTGTGCGGATATGTGTACATTTGAAGGACAAGTCTCATGTTAACTCTGTCCATAAGGCACACCTTTTCCTTACATGAGCAAACAGGCTATGTCAGACTTCCATGAAATACACCGGGAAAAGCACCTCTCTGTGGCCGCTCCAAGACCCCCAAATCACGGACTAAGCAGCTCCAGCATCTGTCCCTGACATGCGTACTTCCATAACATCGCGCACCTTGGATCCCTGGGCCCCCAAACTTAAACACTCCCCCACGGACTAAACCCAGATGATCACACCCTCAAAAACCTTGTGCCCCTGGGAACCTTAAAGGGGGGGTGGAGTTTGTGATGCTTTATCGTCCGCCCATCGGCATCCATATTCGTCCTTATTCACAGCAGCACCACCCACCCTCCTGTGGAGGATGTTCTCATGGCCCTGGTAACCCTTTAAATAGTCTGATACTACCACTGCACTTTACAAGCCAGAAATAGTGTTTAAATTGTCGGGGAAAGTGTTTTTAAACGTTTGGAAGAGATGTTTAGCCTGTCATTTTGCAAGATATCATTTAACATTGAAGCTCTCCTGGAGATGGACAGAATATGTCAATTTCCAGGAGAGCTTCAATGTTAAATGATATCTTGCAAAATGACATGCTAAAACCCAGGAATAAGTGTTTCAAAGGCGGGGAAAAGTTGTTTAAAATAGTATGATACCTCCAGGGTGCATCACCGCATTTTACAAGCCAGGGAAGGTGTCTGAATCATGGGTAAACTTAGTTTAAATAGTCTGATACCTGGCAATGTATCAACCCCTGGGAACCTTAAACGTTATTAAAATGTTTTTTTATTTATTTAATTATCACATTATTTTTACAAAAACAGTATACACAATATGCATAATAAACATAATAATAACATGATACAAACATGATTAGCGGGGGCCCGGGGGCCATATTAGCCGTCTAACTTGTACGGTGCACCGAGGGAAACAGGCTGAGTCCACGGCCTCTACCCCCACCTCAGGAGTATCAACCGGCCCTGAAGAAGAGGTATCGCTGCTCTCCGCCCCTGAGTCCTCTTCGGAGGTATCTGACGGCGGTAGAACTCCTTCCGATGATGCTGCTGCAGCTGCTGCCGCACTGAACATGGAGCGGATCTTCAATCCCTCCTTTATTCCAGGCGTATTCGCTTAGAACCGGTCTGCAGTGCTTACGTCGTGACACATAAACCTGGCGAGAATCGACCTGCTTTCTGGATCTTGGTGATGCTTGATATTGTCAGCCAGGGCAGTGTGCAGGATTGTGAAGGTGACGGCTGTTTCTAGCCCAGCATCAGCCCAAGCCCACTTCAAGTGAGCGTTCAGGTTCCTGGAGGCATGGTTCCCCGTTGTGAAAAGGAGGAATTCATTCTGAGGACCCGACAAGCCCTCTTTTATCCCCATCCACCGCATGACCCAGCTAAACTCCTTCACTGTAAGCACCAGCTGTGCTTCGCCAAATGTCTTGGCAGTCTTGTGATCCTGCACATGGATGATGTAGCCCTCAGCAGTGCCCCTTAAGTCCGCCTCCAAGACCTCAGTGTTGGTCATGTTTGCGTACACACCCGGACGGTGGCCATACAGGAGGCTCCAATGGAGGGTTAGATAGCCATATAGCAGGTACTGGGTAATTGAGGTTGGGTTGCAAGCCATCAGGTCAAGTAAATCAGGGATGCGCCTCTCAGCGGCCGCCATGGCGGCGAGAAGCTCCGCCTGGCTCGGCAGACGATCCAGCTTGTTCCTCTTCACCTTAAACTGGTGGACAGTGACAGACTTTTTCAAGTCTTTCATGTTGGCTTTCACCTCTCTGATGATGTGGGTCATATCAGACTGGGTGAGCCTGCACCCCCGGAGCTTTGACTCAGACAAGTACCTCAGGAAATGGTTCACATTCTTCAGGAACAACAGCGATGTTGTGACTGCCCGGCCCAACTTTACAATATACTCGCTCCAGCCAATCTGACAGCCAAAGATGGAGTAAAGGGGGTGTGTGTGTGTGTGTGTGTGTGTGTGTGTGTGTGTGTGTGTGTGTGTGTGTGTGTGTGTGTCTTTGTTTTTACCTGTGGTTATTTGTTAATACAGAAATCCTATTTTGAAAGAAAACTGTAAAACTCAAGTTTGAGTTCCTTTTTGATCTTTTTTTTTAAGTGAGATATGAACTTTATTTTCTCTGACTAAGTGCAACTGAATTGCAGCTGAAGTTATGTTGAACTGTTACAGGATGTTTATTTTTAAGTATGTGTTATCTTTAATACTGTTGTATGCTTCTTAGTTAACATTAAGCTGTCTTTGGCTCTTTTCCACTGGAGCAATGTGAATGTCCCCTCTGTGGGACGTTAAAGGTTTTCTGATTCTGATTCAGATTATGATGTAAAATATGTTAATGTCGGATGAAGTGCATCGTCAAATAACTTTACTTTGTATTTCTTTCCGTTTTCCAAAATGTGGTTTGTAAAGACTCTCTCTATAGTGCAGAGCACTCAAGAGATATGTTTTGTATTTTCTTTTGTGCAGTAGCAGCGATGATTAAGCCTGAATTTCATGAGTGAATTTGATTGTTTAAAAAAAATAAAAACTAAGCGCTTGTTGATTTAATGTAGGCCTTGCATCTGATTCACCAGCACTAACTATGGTCTGTGCTTGAAGTGAATATATCTGCACTTTCCTTGTTGTTCGGAGTTTGATTCTTTATTGTTTTTGCACTTATTGTAAGTTGCTTTGGACAAAAGCGTCAGCTATATGATATGTAATGTATGTAATATTCATTTTGAGTTAGATACTAATGTTACTTTGCTATTTTTGTTGGACGATGTATGCATACGGGTTTCTAAAGGATGCATTACTGTGTGTGTGTGTGTGTGTGTGTATTTCAGCCCCACTGTTTTTAATCTGTTACAACCCGTTCTGTAATAAATAAAAATCAGTTTGTGTTTCCATTATCGTGAGGTTTTTTTTTCTTTCTGTGGTGGTACTAAACCACATCCCACAATATATGAAGCTTTTCTATTCATTAATCCTGTTATAGACTTTTAGTTTTCAATGTAAGACTTCATTCAAACATCTAAACATTCACTACTTTTCAAATTCAAACCTTCCATAAAATTCTGAAATATTCAATATTTTCTCAGAACATTTTCCATTGAAATGAATGGACGGAATGTTTGAATTTGACTCGATTTCACCGTTTTTGATCCATCTTCAGCTGTTCTTCACTCATTCATACATTCAAGTAGAAACTCCATTCAGGCTTCAAAACATTCCACATCTTTCATACCTTCTGACTTTTAATCATCATTGAAATCCCATTAAATCTTCTCAAAATATTCAGCCTTGTTTGAAGCTCAGTAAAGGTGCCCTTTTTCAGATGTTAACATTGGTGTGTATTGCGCTGAATGTTCAGAGTGGAGCGGTTGGAAAATAGCCTTACAAATGTATTTTTAATTTGCTCTAACTTCCACAATTGTTACTCTTTGTACTTCTTTTTACTGAACGTATAAAAGTGTCCTCTTTCCAACAAAGTCTGTGGAATCAAAGGGACGTACACATGCAGAGCTGTGAGCCTCGCAGTAACAGGAGCACCAACCAACGGCCCCATTGACTCCTATATTCATTAATAGCAGAGATTTCAGAAGTGAGTTCAACTTTGATCGACTGATTAATACTCCACTCAAACCTTTACATGTTTCACTTCTTTCTTACATCAGGAGTTTCAGCTCTAAGTGAGATATGAACAGACAGAGACTAAGGTTCAGATTGAACTGGAAACACGTGTTTGTTGAGGCAGTGAGAGTTTCACAGTAGAGACAGGTGTTATTACAAAGTGTTCAATCACTGTCTCCACTGCAGGATGTGAAATGAGGACACCTGGTGGACAGGTGCAGAACGACAGCAGAGAAGCATCAGCAGAAACATCTATCTGAAATACATACATCCTTCATACATGTCACGTGATGCTTCTGCTCTGAAACAAACTCACACTCCTCTGCTCACTGTCAGTGTGCAGCGGTGTGTATATTTCATATTTAAAACTCTGATTAAACTCCTCACTGAATCTCTAAGGCTTGGTGGAAACATCATAAACTGAAGGCTCTCAAGAGAGCAGTGTATGATG